TCGGAGTGTGGCTCCCTCTGGGTCCACAATTTCCACGCTGACTTCCCAGAGTTCCAATTCAAGTGACAGTGTATGGTGGCGACATACCGAGCTGCCCAGTCCCAGAAATCATGTCCCAAGGGAGACGAATCCACCATAGTAGCGATCGCGTCAGACGCAGTTCGATTATAGCGCTCAATCACCCCATTCAACTCTGGCGTATATGTTGGAGATTTCTGATGAATGATTCTGTCATCTCTGAGGAGGGGTCTGATCTTCTCAAACTCTGTACCGTGATCGGTTTGAAGTACTTTGATAGGTATGCCAGTTTGAGTGAGGAAGCGGAGTACGAAGTCACGTAGATGCTTGAAAGCTTCGGACTTCTCGCGAATTGGGATGAGGGCTTGTATTCCAGTGTAGTCGGCGACTATACCCAAATAGTACTTGTTACCCGCCATTGAGGCTCTCACATATCCCTTCAGATCGGCATGAATGACTTCTCCCTCAACATTGCCTCGAACACTGACGCCATCAAAGGATTTTCGAGTTGCCTTTTGCCTTTGACATATTTCACAGCTTGCCGAAGAGAACGTATCTCGTAACACCTTTCCCGGAACCTTTATCTCTGACAGGAGCCCATCTCTCACTAATTCTTTGATGCGACCTGTATTCAGATGCGCAAGTCGTTGGTGAAGATTTTGCAAGGGTGATAATTGGCTCGAAGGCGATACTTGGATAGTATTGATCTGACCCATAAGCGGGGATCGCTCTGACAAGTCGATGCTGAGAAGACCATTCTTTCTTTCACACGATATAACATGTTTGTGCGTGTTTCTCAGGTGGTTCTTTCGAAAGTTGATATCCCAACCTTCAGGCGTAATCAATCTCTCCGCTAGAAGATTCACTTTGAGATCTGGCGCCAAACGCACACCAGAGAAGGTGGCGATATTTCCATCATCAAGGAGTATGGGGAGAGAACCAATTTGAGTCGACTGAGACAATGTCCCGTTGGGCATGCGGAAGGTCATCTTTGAGATTGCGGGGCGAATGTCTTCAAGGAATTTGGGGTTGCTGACAACGTGGTTGGAGCATTCAGAGTTGACAATAAGGAACTTGGAAAGGTCAGAGGCTAGTGCCAAAGCCTCCCCGTTGATTATGATATTTATGACGTTGTCGTTGTTACCGTTTACCATTGACGTATTTGTAGGACCAGTGTGGAAAGAACTCGGGAGTCATTGCTTGTAGTTGAAAGCTATGCCTTGGTCATTGCCCGTGTTTTGTTCTTCACGGTAACCATTCCCACGATTTCCTCCTTCACGGTAACCACCTCGACTACTGCCACGATATCCTCCTCGCTGGTTGCCTCCTCGATTCGCGCTTTCAGAATATCCCTCGTCTCTCTGGCGCTTGAAACAGTCTCTCGCAAGATGGCCATACCCTTCGCAAGAATAGCACTTCCTGTCTTCGCGATAATAAGGAGCCGGCCTTGTGTCCCTAGAGCTTCCTCCTCGGCCTTGGCCACCACCTCTACCACCACGGAAACTACCGTGTTCGCCTCGGTCGTTTCTGAAGGCCGCATTGATCAGACCAGGATTCAAAAGGTCACCGTGTTGGTCTTGGTATCGAAGTTCAATACCGCCGAGACTTCGGGGCCCAGTTGCTCGCCAATGGACATATTGGAGCCCGCCCGCTCGCCGGGGGGTCGAATGACATTGACAATTTGTGGGGTTGCGCCGATGGGGATTGGGTGCCGACACGGTTCCGAATTTTCGGTCAAGACGTTTCTGTCGGCTTGCGTGACTGTGAGCAAGCTGGCTCGGATGCCCAAGTTTTGTACTGCCCGGCATGACCCGGTTGGTTCGTAATTTTGTTGTTGTTGTGCATTTTTTTTTGTTTTGTTTTGTTCTGTTTTTGTTCTTTTGGTTTTGTTTGCGTGGATGGTGCGGTGGTACGAGCGGCGCGATCGGTAACGCTCACGACTCTTATCTGTTGGAATGTGGTGGTGTTGGTGTGGTTGTATTGTGTCTCTGGAGCCCAGTAAGGGCAGTAAGCGTAGATAGCGGCTCTAAGTGTTGGACGGTTGGTTGTAGATGAACTACAGAGCCAACTTGCGACCTCAGCCGTCATGTGGCGGTGTGTGGCCCGCCACATGATGGTCCGCCCAAGGTACATGTAACTATGTAACTACCAATCTCTAATGTGTGCGGCGTACATAATCACACAGATTCCAATAGAGCCCAGCTAGGACTTCGTGAAATTTGTAGTGCATATGTATCATAGTTATGGAGTTATTGCATGATACGGGTTCATGGACATAATGGACTCTCATCCAGAGGGCGATGTGCCCCAGTTCTCTGTTGGTCCCTGCAACTACATATGCGAGAAATGCGGTGCTCTTCACTGGGTAGGCGAACATCCACCCACCGCCAGACACTCTACCTCTCATGAAGCCGTCTTCTTTTCCTGCTGTTCAAAGGGCAAAGTCATCTTACCGAGGGCGCTAGACCCTCCTCCTCTATTGAAGACACCCTGGACAGCCAATACTGCTGGTAAGTAAGTTCCGACTTGGGTTTGCGTACAATTGAGCTGACATTGCTTTCTTGACTCACAGCTGCAAAAGTGTTTCGCAAAGACAACCGGAGCTACAACGGTGCGATGGCAATGGCTTCTATGAACTTCAAGAATCAGGACAGATCCGTCTATGGTGCCAAGGGTATCTATACCTTCTCCATATCAGGCAGGGTCTACCGCCTGATCGGCTCTCTCCTTCCGCCGCCCGGTGGTAACGTCCAGTTCGCCCAGATCTATATCGCCGACATGTCTGCCAATCAGCGTGCCCAAACGCGTCGGGGGATCTACCACAACCTCTGCCATCCCTCCCTGCTACGCAATATAGAGTTAACCCTTCACCGATCCAACCCCTACGTCCAGTCCATCATCACTTGCAAGGAAAGAATGGAGGCGCACAACGGAAACAATGCACATCTTCATCTCCACATGTCGCAAGAGGGTCACAACCCCCGGACATACAACACTCCTACGTCAAACGAAGTGGAGCTCATCTACAACATCGCTGATGACAAAGACCAAAATGGTTGGCTGCGAGCTCATATGGCAGTCTCGCGCGACCAGCTCCCTTCATCGCATCCCCGAGTTGTCCGAACACTTCGTTCCGCTACACTTCCCACTCCTTTTCCCGTATGGCGAGCCGGGCTGGCACCCTCGCATTCCACTCGGTACCCCTAGCGACCCCTTGCATTATTCCTCTCCGCAGGCGCTGGTATCGGAGATGGCACGAAACGAGGCAGTGGCGTATGGTCCCAATCCTTTGTCCACCGACCCGCTTCTACCTCCCGTCCATTGATGTATGTCGCTTACGCTGCCCCTATGGATATGAGCTGATGAATACTGTAGCCTCCCTCTCCAACGAGCACGCACCTTCTGGAAAGAACGGCTCCAGCCATGTCACGCAGACTCAGTTCTACGCGTACAGCCTCTTTGAATGCGAAGGCGTCTTCAACACGCTTCACCACGCTGGCTTGCTCTTTCAGGAGTACCTCGACGATGTTTCGTAGACGGAATCGGCCAGGCTACGGTTCCAGGAGCAGAAACCGTCACATCTACCCCCACATCCCATACTTCCACCCACAACCTTTAATCATGGTCGCTTCTGTCCCCAACACCTGGTCCCAGGGTCAAGGGACAGCATTCATAGATTCCATCAATGACTCGGACCGCCCCGGAGTCAAGCTCTTCAAGTCCATTGTCAACATTATCGAGGGCGAAAACCCTCTCAACAGAGGAAAAGACTTCCTGCCACCTAAATCAAGTTTTCCGGACACAATGCAACCATATTTTTTCCGGCCTGGCCATAATGCAACCATGACATCATATGCACTTTTCCCAAGCCACAATGCAACCACAAACTTTTCCGGCAGACACAATGCAATCTTTCCAATCTTTTCCAGTCATAACGCAACCATCCATTTTCGTAATATGAGTCCGGGAGTTCCGGCCTCCTAGATATGATGCACCTTTTGTAAATATCATTGGAAGTTCGGTGCGCAATTTGCAAGGGAGGTAAGTCTCGACGTATATTGATGAATTTCATCATCCTAGCAATGTAGACTGGATCCAGGAAGGCATATCATGAAGTCTGCCGCAGAACATTTGATGAATTCGATACATAGACGACGGAAAGCCCGAGTAAATGAACACGGTAGTCAGATGACTACATGGCAGAGGTCGCCGCTTTCTCAGCCAACTACTAGGATTCACCAAGTGTTGTAACTCGAGTGTCGCATCTCGGATCGCTTCACAAAAGTACATGGTGGTTAAGAGGGTTATGTGGCATGCATAAAAGAAAAACAGAGGGGATAGCAGTGCATTTAGGCGTCTAAACTCCACACACCAAATGGTGGTACAAAATGGAAGGTATGGTAACCTTTGGCAAGCCATATCTCACCTCCTGATGTACATATGCATACCAAATTTGGAATATAGCATCCCTACCACCCTTTGAAATTACAGAGCATACAATGATGCGGTTGTAAAGTTAGTGAAAACCGCCAAACGGTCTGAAAAAGTTGGGGAAAACCGCAGCAAAGTTACGCCTTTTCCTCGAGGACAGCAGACGAGACCACCGCCTTTGATGATTACATAAGTTTGTTCCTTCTGACTCTGTTGTACAGGCGCGCGCGCAAGGTGGGGATGAGACTGAGACACAGAGGCTCCATACGAAATAGGGCATATGGTGATGCTACAGACAGAGGGAGAATAGGAAGATTGGTTCATGGGTGCCAGGCGGCCTTTGAAGGAAAAGAAGTGGTCCAATTCAATCATTTCTCAGATATGATATAAATCTCGTATGCGGCCGATGTACAAATCCAGTCAAGTACATTAAGATAAACACATTCCAGAATGTTGGTGGAAGCGATACATTGACTCCACCTACTATTGCATGATCATTCAAATTGTGGCTTGATGCATGCTACGCAGCAAGGTACTGGCAGTAGGACAAATCAACCAAACGTTTGTGAGGACCGGCCGAGCTTCTTCTGCTTGCTTAGACGCTGGGACAAAATCAGCCCCAAGACCACAACATCTGTCAGAAGACATACCCAATCATCCTTGTCTGCTGCGAACCGATCGAATAAGGGCTCAATCTTCTCCAATGCCTTGCGTTTGCTGATCTTGTTTTGATCGGCAATGCGGAAGAAAGTTGGCGCCACCTCCGAAAGCCACTTCGGTTCGATCACAGTGACCTGGTGCATGTATTCCTCTGTCATGACATCAGTAAATTTTCCTTGCAGCAGAGAAGAGGAATGCAAGCCTGAAAATACCTACTGGCTGTCAACACAAGTTCATAATACACACACCATTCCGGCGGTCGTTGAAACAGAGCACTGGAAGGGTGGATGCTGACTGGTGTCCCTTCAACTAACGTTTTATACCCTTCTGTTGGGTCTGCAAATGTTCGTCAGCAGGGTATGTGCTTCAGAGAAATCACTAACCTTTTTTTGCAGCATTACGGAAAAAGCCAGAACAGATAGCCATTCGCACCTGGTTGAAATTACTTCGGCAAGATACAAGATCATGTTTGTAACGGTCCATGATACCAATGAGCTCTGCAAATAAGTCAACTGAATGAACCACCAAAGATAGTTCAAAGGACTACTCACGTTTCCGGACATCTTGAGCAGTCTTCATGGCACGTGTCTGGATAAAGTTTTCAAAACACCATGGGTTACTGAATTTCGAATCCCTCCAACCATTGTAGACAGCCTGTGCGCGATATCAGTTACTGATAGTTCCAACAATGGGTCATACATACCAATAATGTCAACAAGTCTCCTTCAGGTTGATGGAATTTAGCCTTTTTTGCATCTGCTTGCGATTGCTTGTCCTTGGGTCGATAATATACCTGACCTCCTGCTTGAAGCATAGCAACAATCGTCAAAGCCTCTTCTGAACACCCATAATCCACCGACATGATAAGCATCTTTGACAACGGCGGATCCAACGGGAAGTCAGCCATCTTTCGACCAATTCTAGTCAAGAGGCCCTCATCATCAAGTGCTCCAAGCGCGTACAGTTGCTCGAGGGCTGTCAACATGGTAGCCGCCGGTGGTGGGTCCATGAAGTCAAAGTTGATGAGGTCATTGATACCCATGGCCTTCAACGTCAAGATGGTGGATGCCAAATTTGTTCGCTGGATTTCAGGAATTGGATTGGGAAGCATTTCGTTGCGGTATGCGATTTCGGTATAGAGCCTATAGCATTTGCCGGGGCCTGTGCGGCCGGCTCGCCCTGCTCTTTGTCGTGCTTGAGCTTGTGAGATAGGCTATTATTCCATGAGCGTTGTACTATGTGAGGGGACAGGGAACACTTACAGTGACAATAAGAGAGTCCATACCAAGCTTGGGATCGTATGCGTTCTGCTTGGCAAACCCGGGATCGATGACATAGTATATACCGTCGATGGTGATACTGGTTTCCGCAATATTGGTAGCAATCACAATTTTTCGAGCTCCTGGGGGCGCAGGCTCAAAGATTCTTGATTGCATTTCCGAGGGCAGAGCGGCGTAGACAGGAAGGATGATCAACTCCGGGACTTGGGGTCCCAGAGCTTTCACACGCTCATACAAGACTTCACATGCAGTGTCAATCTCTTCTTGACCGGTTAAGAACAAGAGTACGTCGCCAGCAGGCTCCATGAGATGTATTTGCAGGATTGTGATGAGGGAAGCTTCGAGATAGTCAGGCTCGGGCTCCTTGGTGTACAAGGTTTCAACCGGGTATGTTCGACCAGGGATGGTGAAAATTGGGCAGCCCCAGAAGTATTCGGCGAATTTGGCAGCATCGAGTGTCGCGGAGGTACAGATGAGCTTCAAGTCCGGACGGCGCTTACAGGCCTCTGTTGAAAGTTGGTAAGTCAATGGGACGAACGCGACTGCGGCGAGGGACCCACTCTTCAAGAGACCAAATAGAACATCTGTGGCAATCGTACGCTCATGTGCCTCGTCAAGCATGAGAACCGAGTACTTGGAACAGTCCGGATCCACCAAAAGTTCACGCAGCAGCATGCCGTCTGTCTACGTTCAATCAGTAAAGTCCTTTCAGGAGAATCATTCTTGCTTACCATATATTTGATCTTGGTCTCCGGACTGGTCATGTCTTCAAATCGAATGGTATAACCAACTTCCGCACCCAAGCGACATCCCACCTCCTCCGACACTCGTTTTGCGACAGAAACAGCAGCCACCTTACGAGGCTGGGTACACCCGAGCTTGCCTCGCTCGAGAAATCCCTCTTCGGCGAGATACTGAGCCATTTGTGTGGTTTTGCCGGAACCGGTGTCTCCAACAACAACAAGAATTTGGTTCTGAATTGCAAGATCAGTGGATCATAATAGGCTATCGAGAAAAGACTCACGTCACGAATGGCGGATACCAGCTGGTCCCTGAGCTTGTAGATCGGAAGACTCTTTCTTTGCTCTTGAATGCTCATTGAAGTTATTTTCCCATAAGATACCACTTTATTCGCGGCTTTCCAAGCCGGCGTCTGTGTTGCTTTCTGGCCCATAAGACTCCCCTTGATATCGGTGGCGAATTGACGTTCGTTTTGGTTGGCCATAGGATCGAGCCATGGTTGGTTGACATCACGACTTTCCGCATCGGCTTCTTCGTTGGCTTCCAGACGTTTGAGATCACGTCGTTCCTTGGCCAAAGTACCGCCAGCGAGAGCAGCTCTATTGAGCATCCTGATGACTGTCAATCATATGAGGACACGAACAGGGAAAATTACATACCCGTCAGGAGCCTTGATAATTTTGACGGGTGAAAGTTCAAGAGTGACCTTGGTTTGGCCGGCCAAGAAAGCAGGTTCCACTTCGTTGACTTCAACATCTATATCTTCTTCGATCTCGGGGTTGTTGGATTCGGTATTGAAGTCATCATCGAGATCAGGATACTGCAAAGGATGAGCATCAAGACACATGGTATGTCGACTACTTACGTCTGCAGCAGAGACGGCCCCACTAGCAATGAGCTGCTTGATTTCAAAGCGCTCTGGACTTGACAGTCGCTTTGCTCTGGAAACTTTCAGATCAGGGACGCCCAAGAGAGGCATACTGTTGCTCCCGCTGGCAGCAGCGCGAGCCTGAAGATCGCGCTGCTCTTGGGCAGCCTCTTCTGCCGTCATTACCATGAGGTGAGGACTGCTAGGAGTCAGCGCAATCTTACTTTTGAGAGGGCAAGGGACGTACGACAGATCGGCACCAGTCATCTGGTCAACGTCTTTCATGCTCAGACCAACTTTGGGGCTGACAGACATGACCTTGACTTTGACCCTTTGATTGCGCTTCAAAAACTCTGCTGGGTTGTTGACACGCCCACTGGTGATGCTACTAACATGGACCATACCTATATGATGTCAGCTGGTTTCGTGTGTTATAATGCGCGGTGCATCGTACCTTCGTTGGACCTCGAATTACCATCTGTGTTCCTTTGCACGCCATCCAAAGTGACAAACGCGCCAAAGTCTTTGATATTGGTCACGGTGCCATCGTAGATTTTGTACAGGAGAGGTTTCTGGTCTAATGCCGATCGGCCGCTTCTTCCGCGATCTCCGTATGATGTCCCCGAGTAACCGCCGGAGCGGGAGCCATAGCCATTGTCGCGACCATCGCCGTGATTCCGACCGTAGCCACCATACCCATTGTCTCGACCGGTTGTGTCGCCGCGAGACCTTTTGGCAGAAGGCTCTCCCTCCATATAATCGTCTGCCGAGGGCCTAGCACGCCGTGATGACAAAGAAGACAGTTGCGCCAGAGTATCATCCACGCCCACGGAATCGGGGAGCGTTTTGGACGAGACATTCGTGTCTGGCGTATCGTCAACAAATTTCTCTGCTTCTCGGTCGGGCATGGCTAGGCCGGGATATTTCCTCGCTTGCAGCTGTTTTTGTTCGTCCATTATGGTTGTTGATTTGCTTGATTTCTGTCCCGACTGGGCAGCTGCTTTCGCCTTTGCGGCTTTGCGTTTGTACTTGGGGTGCAAGGTGACGATGAGGCGGTCCAGATTCTTGACGAACCACTCAGGAAAGTCGGCCCCAATCTCGACGAGCTTTTTGGAGAACGCGTCCGGGGTCTTGCTCTGCTCGTGGAGCTAGACATGGGTCAGCTTGTGTGCCCTGATGCAAAGCGCAATGGGACGACGCACCGAGATAACAAACTCTGCAAGTTTCTTGTCTTGAAGTTTTGTATGGTTGTAGAGTTCCTGGGAGACCTTTGCGACGAGCGAAAGCAGCTCGAGCTTGTAGATCTCCTTGTCGGCAGACATTGCGGCGGCCGGGGTGTGCGAATGGATGGGAAGCGCAGAGAGCAGGCAGAGGCAAGGAGCAAAGGGCGGCGGCAGTGCGGCAGACGCCGCCACCGTGTAGTGGAGGTGCCCGCCTGCCTGGCCTCCACCAGGCGCTGCTTCTCTACGTCATGATGTGCGTAAAGTATATAAGATTGATATAAGAGGCGGGGGGATGCCCCGTTTGCAGCATCTGCACCATGTCCCAGCCTCAGACCCGCAAACGCACAGACAGGCTCGCCGCCCCGTCCCGCCACTCCATCCAGGACTCGGCCAAGGCTCAGGTCGCAGAGGTGGGCGCCATCGTCCAGGACGGCATCACAAGCGCCTCCTGGATCTACCCCATCCTTGTAAGCCGCCACATCTTACACGTTGCGTACATGTCCACTGACTATCGTTCTTTCTCAGGGTGTATTCTACCTTTTCTCCCGTAAGCTGCCATCGCCCCGACCGAGCACTAGAGAGACTCGGCGCCGAGCGACGCTGACTCCACCGCAGACCCTACCCTGATCAAGCCCCTGCTTCCTACCATCCTCAAGGGCGTAGCCTTGTCTGCTGCGGCTGTAGTGTTCCTCTTCACATTCACTTATCTTCCGCAAGTCGGCATTCTGGTCTTTGTATCGGGTCCGCTGGGTCAGTCTATCACTGTTACTATTTTCAGTATCAACGTAATTTACCTTGTCTTTAGCATTCATTCTGGCAATTCCTTTGGTTCTGAGTGAGGCCTATTTTGTGGTCACATTCTTTGCCAGGGGATTCTTGTCCGGCCAAGTCGGAGTGGATCTCTTTGACGCGGTAAGGGTCACCAAATTCATACTGGGTCAACGCTGAACTATCGTTGCAGGTGCTGTTGCAGAAGGGACATCAGACATTGGTTGGGAACGGGAGACAAGTCACAGATGCAGGAGGCGGCAAGGCTAAGCAGCTGGGCAACTTGATTCGTAAACCCTTGGCCCGATTTAGCTTTGTGAGTTGACTGCTGTCACACATCCGCCCGTTGCTTACACAGCTTGTCCAGGACAACACCGTCCGATATCTCATCACCCTCCCTCTCAACTTCATCCCCGTTGTCGGCACAGTTTTTTTCCTTGGGTGAGTATGGCAGCCAATGTCGCATATACGAAACACTCACGACAGACCAGTTACAACGGATACAAAGCAGGCCCGGGGTACCACGCTCGGTATTTCCAGCTCAAGGACTACAGCAAGGAGCAGAGGCAGGCTTTTGTACACAAGAGAAGGGGGGCTTACCTCACGTGAGTACTTGCCGCTCTATACGCAGATATCCGTGCTCACCCCACTTTTATAGTTTCGGGACCATGGCCGCTTTGCTCAACCTTGTGCCCTTCGTCTCCATCTTGATGACATGTAGGTAGTCCTCATAATTTGGGGATTTGTTGCTGATCGACTCATAGTCACTACTGTTGTCGGCGCTGCTTTGTGGGCTGCTGACTTGGAGAACAACATCAAAGTCACATCGAACTTGAGGGGAGAGGCCCACAAAGCCAAGACCAAGCAGGCGGATGAGGTTGAAGTTGTCATTCCTGAAGAGAACACGGTAGGAGCCAAAAAAGACCTTTGAGGTGTTCTACAGTACAAAATGAGCCGCTCCACACTGTGCACCAGAATGATGATAACAAATGCAAATGTACATCCTGTTCAGTATGATCATTCTGGGTTCTGGGCATTGCCGCATGAGGGTACGAGTATCTGTCTGAAACAGATATGTGTGGCTTGTGTCTTATCATTGTTGACTTGACAAGAATGTACTCGTACATCGGTCAGAGAGGATTGTGTCGCTCTCAGTCGTTCCTCTGCAGGAACCACCGGACAACTCGTGGGAGTGCTGAAGAAGATTCACCCCGGCTCACGCCTCACCGTACCATCGTACGTAGGTGGTTCGCGGCGGAGTCCGCTGTTTATGTCCAGCTCTAACTTATGAACTGGCGGGTCCATCGCTCATCATCGTTTCCAAGTCCTTCACGCCAGGCCAGATCGAACAGGTCATCAACACTCTCCACCCCTTCCGCCATCTGTCGTAACCTCACCCCGCCTTCGCCGCTCGGATATCGCCCGAAATGCCCGCAAAGAGGCGGGCATCATCCAGCATCTCCAATGGGCCCACGCCCAAGAGGCTGACTCGCTCGGCAGGAGCCAAAGTCCGCTCCCCCAGACAGCCCACAGACGATTCTGCGAATCCATCTCAGGAGAGCGCAGACCAGCCTGCTGATCCCAAGAGACCCGCGGGCAAGTCAAAGTCCGTGCGGAAGCAGCCCGTGGCCAAAGAAGCTCTATGGCAAGACATACCAGCTTCAAACCCATCCTCTGCTGGTGATCGAGCCACACTGCTAAGCCTCCCTCGCGAAGTTCTAGATGTCTGTTTCGGGACAACGATCAATTTGGGGCTGCAGATGCGAGATTACGTTGCATTGGCGGGTGTATCGCGATCCTTCAGGCTCTGCCTCGATGATCGGGTCTTTCAGGTGAGTTATCGTCGCTGTCCACACGCACAATCATTTGCTGAAGGAGTCCAACAGGAGCTATACCTTGCCTCCCGACCCGAGTATGTAGACGGAGACGCGTCAGGCCGCAAATATGTCTCGGAACGGATATTCAGCAGAAACTTGCCGAATTGGTCTGTACCCCCTCCTCAGCGGTCGTTCAAAGCTCTCGACAGGCTTTCCCTCAGCCTACCTCCCCATGACTCTGGCTCTGTCCAGGACAAGAAGCTTCATTCCGCCTACGACCAAATCTACGCCCGATGTCGACAAGTCTACCAGGAAGGAAAGGACCAGATTGCACGCCAGCAGAGGGAGCGTGTGCTAGCCAAAAGGGTTGTCAAGAAGGTGGTGGTGGATGGGCTGTCGCGAGCGGTGCTGATGGCAGTACCGGGGCGAAAGAATGGAGAAGTCGAAGGGGAGAAGGACGAGAACGGGATACCCAAACACCTATCGGCTGGGACAAGTACGGGGTCGGGCCTTCCATCTTTACCCCTAGAGACGGATCTCAAAGGAACATGGAGACCTTGGAAACTCGAACTCCAAAAACTCTATCGCCAAATGCGACAGTTGATCGAAGATCACAGAGACATGAAGCCAATTCACGTCGACGATATTCTACTGGGTGGTGCCGCGCCTTCCCCAACTTTGTGGATCAAGTACAGCCCCGAAACTGGGGAGAAGCTGCCCCATGACTACTACCCTAGTCCGTGGAGAACCAGAGCAGCCGAGGTTGTCGCTTCCAAGTGGATCTCAAAATCGGTACGTATGCCTGAACAAGCTATTCCTGTATTGACATTCCTCAGGAGGCGATTCGGACATTTAAGGTGGGAGAGGGCGAAATGGCATGTCTGAAGCATTTTCTTGTGGTGAGTCTCTGCTCGAATGAATGTGAAGAGTTGACTGACATCGAGTAGCCCAACCCGCTGACTCCAAAGTTGTGAGTCACTCGAGGCTTTTTGGAAAGTACTGACTTCAACGTGTGTTGTAGACCAGCCAAAGTGTGAGTCACGAGCAGAAACTTGAAGTCTGAGCATCTCGCTGACATGGGTCTTTGACAGTTTCTCGTTGGCTGCCGTCCAAGCGCTAGCCCTGAGGTCACATGGCGGGCCAATAGGTCATCATGATCATGTGTAAGATCTCTCTACGATCCTTTGGTTCGGGCTTACTGATCAGTGGCGTAATACAGGATCAAATCTAGAGCCAAAGCCCTTAAGAATATCATCACCCGACGAGCCAAAACTTCAACTAAAGACAACTCGTCGAATTCTCCAACATCAACTCGAACACAAGCGCCCGCTCCTGGCCTCACCAAAAACGCGAATTCTGGAGGACGCTACAGGCAGCCTGCCAAATCTATCGATCCATCCGATGAAGATGACTCGGGGGCAAAGTATGGCATCGACAAACAATGCGGGTCGTGGTATTGGAGAGGAGCCTTCTTCGACTGGGTGTTTGACCAGAGAGAGCAGAGGGCGTTGCGGCCTGAAGTCGACAATGGGCCGCCAGATCACAATGGCTCTGGGAGCGACGGAGAAGACGAGGGCGGCACGGGAGGAAACATGGGCATCGTAGCCCCTCCCCCTGATCTCAGCATTGAAATGCCTGCGCTGACAGATGGTGGTGATGAAAGTGACAGTACAGCGGACACCGATGGGGAGTGGGACGTTGATGATGCCGATTCGGGGCCGGAAAACGATCAGTAAAGCTGTCTCATGTATAGTCACACCAATGCATGTCAATACTATGAACAGCGGGTTATCAGTTCAATCCCTTGTCTTTCTCCATGGCGTCCGCAAAGGCGTCCATGCTAGGAAATTGAAAGTCTGGAATAACATCCTTGAAAGCAGACACGCCCATCACAGCCTTCTGGCGATCAATCCAGGCCGCCTTCAATCCTTTCTCGTGGCCCCTACAGTAGCGCGTTGTGAGCAGACAAATTTCACTGTGAAGGTGAGACTTACGGCTGAATGTCGTGCAGCTTTGAGTTGGCGACGATGAGAATGTCCTCGGGGCTGAAGCCGAAATCCTCCTTGACATGTTGCAATGCGTAATCAAAATTGTTGAGGGAAGGCTTGTAAGATCCGACTACACAAGTCGTCAGTAAGAACAGCCACGGGTAGCACAGGTTTGCTTCACTTTTCTCGGCTGTATAGAGAGCATCGAACGAGAAGCCTTTCTCGAGCTTTTGTTTGGAGCTGAAATTGGAGTCAGTCATTGAGCCTGGTAATTAAAATGAATGCAGCCTACCCTTCGAAGCTGGTATTGTCGACGTTGGACAAGATGACAAGTCTCAGTCCTAATCGCGAGAGTCTTTCCAGGGCATGCGCCGAGTCTTCAAAGGCAGGCCATTTGGGCACAGATGCCCCGAATGCAGCAGCATGGGCTTGCCCGTGTCATCAGTGTGCTATCGGAGATGCGAATTGACTTACAGTCATCGTCTTTGAGGTTCAAGTCTTTGGCAGTAGCATGGTAGACACCATCAAGACTATGTTCAGGGTCAGCCCCACCCTGTCACGCGAGGGGAGTAGCAGGTGACTGACACTTGGAAATAGAGCATAGTCGGGGTTTCGGTCTGGATGCGGCCCTCGTGGTGCCCCACAACCTTGAAGATGTTCTCGCGGTCGATGCTCTCACTTTGCTGCAGAAGAGGGGCGAGATTCTCGAGCATGCCAGTCTCCCAGTCCTGTGACATCCGTTAATCAGCAAAGGACACTCGTCCCGATAACGTCCGGAAGGCCCACAATGAGTGTCTGGGGGTGAATGCATTGGCATCAGCGAAGCACGTTCATTTGGACAGGCTTATCTTACACCATAGCAGTCGAAAAGAAGGACTCTATCCCAATTGTCAGGACTGGCAAGTGTGCACGAAGGCGTCCGTCGCGACTACTCACTTGAAGGGCCTCAGAGACATGACGCTAGTTGCTTGCTTGTCGTGATGATGGTATTGCAGGAAGGGAGGAAGATGAGAAGAGATGGACAGTGATGTACTGATCGACTTGAGACATATATAACGTAGAGTACACTACATGTGAGGGACCGACTGCTCGGCTCCCCGATAAGGGGCTTTGGACGCCGCGGTGACTTATCGGCCTGCGGTTTGACCGATAAAGACGACCACTATGAGATAGTGTTCATAGTTTTATTGTCTCTCCTCCTTCCACGAAACTCACACCTTCTTTCTCACATTATCACTAACAACACCAACCAACATGTTCGACGAATTTGACTTTGCCAAAACATTCCCCAATCCCGTCGAGGTTCGGGAGTCCTTGTGAGCAAGATTCGCCTCGACGCCTGTCTTTTCGCGCTGACAATCATTGCAGGCTGCCCCTTCTCTCAGTCAAGCCATGGTATTCTTCTGCTTCTCAAGACTTCTATCTCACCAACGTCAATGTTGTGGACGCCGCTTCTGGAAGTCTTCTCGAAGGACCTCAGACCATCAAAGTCAGCAGGGGTGTCATTGTGTCTGTTGAGCCCGAGAGTGCTGCCCAGCTCGACGACCAAGCAAAAGTATACGACTTTTCTGGCAAATTTGTCTGCCCAGGGCTCATCGATGCCCACGTACACGTGACTGCCGTACCTGGCGTACAAGTGAGTCAGGGCTCTGGACGACGAAGAAGCCCGAGAGCTGACATGATCCAGACGATGGCTGATATGGTCAGACTGCCTTCTGACACAGTCGCTCTCCGTGCGACCTATGTCCTCAAGGGCATGCTTCAGAGAGGTTTCACCACTGTTCGAGACACTGGCGGCGCCAACAAGATCCTCTCTGACTCCATCAAAGAGGGTCTTATCGAGGGTCCCAGGCTTTTCCAATGCGGCAAAGCCATCTCCCAAACAGGTGGTCATGCCGACTTCTCACCGGCATTGTCCGGCGGTGACGGAGGCTCTTGCTGTGGCGGTCATTCGCAGTCTCTCGGGCGCGTTGCCGATGGAGTGCCCGCGGTTCTGAAGGCTGTCCGAGAAGAGCTCAAGCAAGGCGCCGACTTTATCAAGATCATGCTGGGTGGGGGTGTTTCCAGTGAGTATGACGCTATTGAGACGGTGCAATATTCCCCAGAGGAGGTCAGGGCCATTACTTCTACTTGCTCGCAAATGGGAAAGAGAATGGTGAGATTATTTCCTACCTCTCTCTCTGCTCTGGCTCATTTGTGTCCAGGCTACAGCCCATGCCTACACTGTCGAGGCCATCAACCACGCTATTGACAACGGTGTCCAGGGTATTGAACATGGAAACCTCATGGATGCTCCCACGGCCAAACGGTAAGCTAAGAGTCTTTCCTCTTCTGTATCGATCTGACGAATTCTGATAGTATGGCTGAGAACGGTGTCTACCTCACTCCCACCCTCTCTTGTTATGGCATCATGCTCCGAAAACCTTTCGAAGGCTTCCTGAACGAGGAGCAGCGAGACAAGAGTGTTCAAGTCATGCAGCAAGGCCTGAATGCCCTCCGGATTGCCGAGGAAGCCGGAGTCACCGTATGCTACGGGTCCGACCTTCTCAATTCCATGCATGCTTTGCAAACAGGTGCGCATCCCTCTCAGCTTCAGTTGGCCCCCAGCTGACCCACTTGTAGAGGAGTTCACTGTCCGTTCCACGGTGCTTCCTTCTGCTACGCTGCTCAAGCACGCCACTATAAACCCCGCCAAGATGCTCGGATACGAAGGCCGGCTCGGTGTCATCGCACCTGGTGCCTTTGCCGACATTCTCGTCCTGGAAAAGAATCCCCTCGAGGACATCACTGTTCTCGACCTCCCCGAGCAACATCTCCTAGCTGTGTTCAAGGAAGGCAAGCTTGTGAAGGGCGGTCTTTAAATGGAAGGCGATTTTGAGAATCATATTTTGGGCTTGATTTGGTAGATTATATGTGTGCTAGAAGCATGGTGCAGTTGTGCGCAATGGATGCGGGGTGCGCGAGAAGAGAACCAAACAACACGCGAAGTGCCACGAACGGCATTTGCCGCCCATGAGATGAGGGAGCGTAAATAAGGTTTTGGGGATGACGGCGCTTGCTTTCTCTTTGAGTGTCGCCGCCCGCTTCCAGTAATTCTCAGCGACGCTCAATTTCCTGGTGTCCTCGACAGCCCGCCGCATGCTGTCCCCCATAGACACCGCCGCCCCCGCCGCCCCCTACAACGGCCTCCCCTCCCGCACAACCACCCCGACCACCCCCAGCATGGACCAAACACCGAACACAGTGGACCTCCGCACACCCCGCCCCACCACCGACCACATAGGACCAGAAGACATCCGGGACAGGGACGCAGAAAGACGAGAGCAGCAGGAAAGTGAAGGATTCGGTCTTGGAATGGGATCTGGCTTGGGCAGTGCGAGCGGGAGCGAAAGAAGCAGTCTTGATATGGGACCCCCGCTGTCCACCGAGAAGGGGAACTGGAAAGGCAAGGGGAAGGCGGTGGAAGCAGATGTCCTGGAGCACGAGGACGAGGATGAAGCAGAATTCGACCCGAGTCTTTACCAATCGTATCAGAGCAGACTGGGCGAGATCGCCGCCTCTGAAAGAGCAGGGGACGGATGGTCTCAGAGGGATGAGCTGCTACAAATGGTGTGTATGACTTGGGGGTTATGATCCGCATCTCACTGACGCCAACCGCAGGCCAACACCTTGCTTCCTGTGGCTACCCATCAGGCGCCTTTGCTGCAAGAGCAAATAGCAGCGCAACAACGAACCATTTCAGATTTGCAACAACAATCCAAACTCTCTCAGCAACTGATAGCAACGGAACGGTAAGTCGCGGAATGTTTGTTCGGTCCGCAGCGGCAGTGTTGACCTTAAGACAGTGAACGGCATGCCGTAGAAAGAAAGTCATGGCAAACAGAAACACAAGCCATCATTGCTGCTAAGGATGCAGAGGCTTCGGCAAAGTCCGGCCAGCGCAAGGTTTTGGATCTCGACGTTGGATATCACAAGGAGCTGGAGGCAGCCAACAAGCGCCTAGAGATGGATAATAGACTGATGGCCCCAAGGGTAAGTAAATATCAACGTCAGCTCGTGCGAGTGTCTCATCGGTCTTGCAGCTTGTGGATACCCAACGCCAAATTGACCGTCTTGTTAATGAGCTCCGCCTCCTCCGGCCCCATGTCATTCTCGATTCCAAACCTCTACATTCGACATCGACGGAAGTTGACGTCAAACCCGACATCTCGGCCAAACTCGCTGTGCCTTTACCGCGCTACATGCCTCAACTCAATACCTCCCGCTCAGCCCGCACGACGATGGGTGATGCTCGTGCCGAACATCTGTTGCTGGCGGCGAGAACGATCAGGACTATCCGAAAGCGAGATACAAAGATCGGCAGGATGACCATCAATGAGTTGAGGAAAGCTGGGGTGTCTGGCCCCGAAGGTGGACTGGGGTACAAGGAGGGGTACGGCGAAGAAGCGTTATCAGAAACTGATGATTACAGCGAGGGCGAAGACGAGCGACGGCCTAGCGTCTCTGCTAAAGCCAAAGTCAAGGTGCAGGCTACCCCTGCCACTGGCAAAATCAAACGAGGGGTTAAGCGTGCGGCGCCTGGTTCCTCTGTACCCCAGACACCATCGAGGCCACGGGGTGCAGCCCCAACATTCCCCGAAACGACGCCGGGCGGCTCGAATTTCAATGACCTGCTGCGCGCTGCCGAGATGGCTACCCGCCCTTCGTCACCCGCTGTCACCGACCCGACTATACTCCAATCTGTCAGCGCCACCAGGAGTACGACACGAGTTTGCCCAGACGACGATGCTGAGCGGGGGAGTCCCAAGCGGCGCCGTGGATCTGCATGGGGTGAGAATGAACCACACAAAGGCCATGCCCCGAGCTCTAGTCAAGGCTCAGCGTCGGCTCTTGATCTCTTGGCGCAAGCGAGTCAACTTGACGTAGCCAAGACAGCCCCTCAGAGCTCGCCAGCGCAGCCTATCGCGTCTTCTTCCAGACACCCACCGCGGCTGACAGCCTCAAGCCCGATGGAGTCTTCGCTTGGTGCGCCTATCGACCTGACACCGAGAAATGGGCGACCGCACTTGAACCAGTCATCGAGCATGACAGACGACTCGCTCGATCCCAGCTTGCAGACGCCGAAAGGAAGGATGCGAGGGTCAAGCAATGCTTCAGAGTACACGCCTGCGAAGTACCTCGAATCAGGCGGGCCTTCATCCAATAATGTCTTGACGACCACGCCCCTTTCCAGTGTCCCTCCAAATCCGCAAGCGGCTGCTGCAGCAGCTTCCGAAGGTGGTGGGGGTGGTCCTGGTGCTTTCGCCTCTCCAACTGGTCGGGTCGTCCCCGGTCTCGGCAGGTACTGGCACTACACCTCAGAGATGCCAATCAAGCGCGTGCGATCGCCCTATTTGAAGTGGACTGTGGAGGAGGATGAGCTGCTGGCGCGGGCTGTGGCTATACATGGAGAGAAGTGGGATTTAGTCAGTAAAGGTGTTCCCACAAGGAGCTATCACCAGGTCCGGCAAAGGTGTGTCGTTCCGTCATCTTCGTATCTGCTTGTGTACTGACTTCGACTAGATGGCTGCGGAAAACTGGTGCTTTCGACAAGAAGAATCAGTCGGCGCCTCCTTCACAGCTCCAGAATGGTGTCTCGTATCCCAACGGTACCAGATATGATCCATTACCAAACGAAGGCGCCGGAGCTAGTCAGAAGTCTGCCAGCTTGGAAGAAGAAGAGTGAGCAGGGGGGTTGGGCTCGAGACGGTTGCTTGTTTGTAGGCTTGTACCGTACCATCGGATGAAGCGAGGAGTCATATTGTATATCCTGTTACATTCCCCTGGGAAGTCGAAACCGCTCTTGCCATATTGTAGCGATTACAGTCCATAGGAGCACGATACTACTGCGGAGTGAGGTAGAGTACAGCTGGCGGCGGCGACCGACGGCTATGCAGTAGTATTATAGTATGTATGCGCTGTTCTTCCAAACGTGGGATTGACTTGCTCTCTTGCGACGGTCCGAGCTCCTTGAACGCGACATTGGATCATGAGCGGCTTTCAGTGTCGACCAGCGGAGGCGGGATGGAGAGAGATAGGAGAGCACAAATCCCAACTCCCAAGCGGGCGGCGGGGCGACTCACCCGACAGAAGGCCTATCCAAAGGAGGCTCGAGGACATAACACGCCATCTCAAAAACAAACATGCTGTTCTTCCACAACATCTTACACTCACTTTCCGCTATCGAGGAAGCGCCAGAGAATGAGACTTCGGACGCATTACCTGTGGGGAGCGACACTGGTAGCCCGATTTGGAGGGCATGTTCTGGCTCAAGAGGCACCATCGGGCGATTTGCCTGCAACTTCCTCTGTGGTATCATCTTTACACGCTGTCCAGCCAGCACCCCCTGCAACAGGCGAGCCCGACGGTGAGACTAGCGCCTCTTTTGGAATCAGACCTTACTAACGCTCATACAGGTCCGAAGAGAGTCATGTACAGCCAAAAAGAACTCCTCAGCTGGACTCGACATGAAAGACGGGCGCTGGAATGGGAAGTGCAGATTGCATATGAGGGGCAGACCTTCTTTGACGGATGGAACTGGTTCACAGAAGACGGTGAGACTCACCTGATCACTACAACCATCCCAGCGGCGCTGATAGACACACACTGTTCCCTCTAGACCCAAGCAATGGCCGTAAGTCATATTCTTGCCGCAGGTTTCATTGCAACTCATTTGATTTTAGTGGTCAACTATGTCGGTCGTTCCAAGGCCTTCTCGGATGGGCTGGCGTTTTGGACCAAGGACGGTATACCTGGCATACAGGTAAGCTCTTCCTCATTTGACGACACCGCCGACGCTAATGAACATGAAGGCCGAACACTGGGCCACAACCGATGTAGGAGCACATCGCAACTCTGTCCGGATAACTACCAAGTCTCTCTTTGAAGGCGGGCTCTTCATCATCGATATGGCTTTGATGCCTTGGGGTTGTGGCGTGTGGCCGGCCTGTATGTGCTTCTCATTCCACCCTTGACCATAGTCAGATTGCTCACACTTTACTCGTAGTTTGGACCCTTGGAGCCGACGGCGCCTGGCCTGAGACGGGAGAGATCGACATCATTGAAGGGGTTCAGGCCAACACCAACAAGTAAGCTTCCCTCCAGGTTTTTCAACGTGTGAGACCGCATCTCACCATATTACTGCGTACAATAGCCAAATGTCAATGTGAGCATTGAGACTCGGCACTACATACGTCTGCTGATATATCATAGCCACTCTATGCCTGGGTGCGCTATCAACTCAAGTACTGAGGATCTGTACTCTGGATACATGGGTGTAAGTTGCTGTTTCATCGTGTGACCGAAGTTTGAAGTTGACGTGGGGAACAGAATCAAGACTGTGATTCTTCGAACGGTCAGTGGTGGTGAAGTCTGCTCACTGAGGGTCATCTTGTTGACAAGCTGCCGAGTAGGTGGAAGCGGCTGTTCCATAATTTCCAACTCCGACTCCTCCTTCGGCATGCCTTTCAACGAAGCCGGAGGCGGAGTATTTGCCATGCTGTGGGACAATGATGGGATCAGGATGTGTACGGTGTCTGCATTCGAAAGGGGTTTCTGGACGCTGACCCGGACGCAGGGAATTGGAACAGAGCGCAGATTCCGTCAGAGTGAGCCAGCATATGGATTCGTGCTATGAGTCGATCACTGATCTCTTCATCTAGCATCAGCGACAGCACCCCGTCCCCGTCTACCTGGGGTCTGCCCGTGGGTACTTGGGATGCCTCTATTTGCGACCTCTCCTCGTTTTTCAAGGCTCAAATATTGACGTTGAATGTCAACATCTGCGGAGACTGGATCTACAACACCTGGGACCGTGAGCCTCTCTCCCATTTTTGAACCAAGCATTCCTCGTGCATTCTTATCCATATCTGACCCAAACTCTCCAGAGTTCTCTTACTGCCCTGGCACGTGCCCCGAATACGTTTCGAATCCCTCCAATCTCAACAATACCGTCATGCTACTGAACTATGTTAAGGTCTATCAACAGACCGGAGCGGCAGTGACGACGAGACAGGCAGAATCGAACTCAAATCTGACGGGCGCTGGGGGACCAGTTGGAAGGACAAGTGGGGCAAGTTCAAATGTCGGTTGGATGGGAGTCGGGACAGGGTGGCTCGGGGCCATGCTGGGCTTGGGTTTCATGGTGGCCCGACTGAGTATCTGAACCGATTGTGGCTCATAATATGGGAGGGAATATCGTCATTTCTTTATCGCGACTGTCTTTAGAGGCTGGAATGAGAGACATCTGACACTGGGTCATGCAGTTAATGCATGTTGATGCCGTCGAAGCTTATATTATTAAGTCTTCCGCACTGTGAGCCCACGAAACGAAGATGCGTGCAATGGTCAGGCCAGTGCCAACCAGATGATACAAGCGTCTCAGTTCAACACTCCTTTCTGCCAACCCATAAAGGGAGGGCATATGGCCCTCCTTTTTGGATGTCGATGACGGCAGAAAGGTTCAATGCGATCTCGATGTCCAGCGGCGACATTATCATCAACTAGCAGCGCAGTAACCTAGGCCCAGGTCAGCATTGTATACTCACCAACGCCCAAATTTCAAAAGCCTTTGACGGGTATCACAAGCTCAGGAACACCCGCTCCTCGAACAGAATCAGCAATGGGGTGTTTCCGCTCCTCCTCCGGGCTCCGCTTTAATCCCCTGTGGCACTCTTTGTCCATCCTCCTCACATTCATCTCATTTTTGATGCTCATGATTCTTGTGTTCTACAACGCTCCTATAGACCACGTCCAGTCGAGTCTCACTGGAAAAATGGGACTACGAATGTGGATGCTGACTATCAATGAAACCGAGTCCGACTATCCAAAGTGGATTGGGGGCAGTAAGCGGTCGCTTGTTCAACAAAGATCCAAAACTGGTCTTCTGTTGAGATGGGTGACGATACCTCACCATGGTTTGTTGGTCCCATGGCCAAGAGGATAGGAGAGTCAGGTGTTGCAAACATTGACGGCGGCGGGCTCCACGCTTACGGATTTGGCATATGGGGATGGTGCGAATGGACAAATACAAAGTGGACAGGGGATGCCAGGTGCACCAAGAAGATGGCATATAAGCTACCCGAAAGCGCAGACAGCGAGTGGGATGGCATATATAATTTGAAGCTTCCCTAGTGAGTTTCTGGGGCTCGTATGATGTCTAATGATGGCCGGGGGAATACATCCTGAGGACAAACAAATCTCTAGTGCAGTATCAGATGCCTTATCTGGAGTTGCAATCCCCCTGATATTCACCCCCTTCCTTGTTCTCTCATATTTGATAATACTCCTCATGGCCATCCTATTCCCGGGCCCCTACCCGCCCTGGCCTGTCCCCTACAAATACCCCAAAGATCAAGTGAAGCACTACAAGACCAGATGCGCCTGGATGTTGAGAGATTGGAGATTCAATTTGTATTACTTTGTTGCCATGCTGATATTAGGAGCCAGTATGATTGTGACTGTTCTAGTTGGAAGGTCACAAGTGATTTCCATGAATTCCGAAAGCGGGGGTCTCCAAGCGGCTACAGGGACCGGATTCAAGGTGTAAGTAGATATGGAGTCCGCTGCCGTTGAAACAGTAGTTGATCATGCTTTACAGCTTCTGGGGTGCTTGGGGATGCTGGATGATTGCTCAGTGTCTTTGCATGTGGCAAACTGGACTGATAATTAAGAGAGAAGGCAAAAAGAGGACCAAGATATCGAAGGGCTAGAAAGATGTATCCTATGTAACCGCTGAGCTGCTAGCCTGCTGCATTGCCACAACGTGCAGTGAGGGCACTCAGACCTCGGAGCGAGGCGCATGATGGAATATCATTGAGCTGGAGATGTGCTGATTTTCGGATCAAATGGGTCTGCAAGTATCGAACTGGAAAGATTGAAAAAGGAGCAGGCATGGCAGAAAGGTATCGTACACAGCGATATACAATGGTTTATTCGACGAAGGTGTCTCTCGGGCTTGTTGGCTAAACTTTGTGCTAAGGGCGAAAGTATCATAGAATTTCATGTCAGAGATCGTCTGAACAAGGCGAGTATCATTGAAGGTGTATTGTATAAAGGTTACATGCTCCTTCGTCACTCTTTCATCTCATCCTTTGTAGCTCTGTATTGTACATTCCTATTCAACCTTTGAGGTCACTGTCTGGCATGATGCACCTATGTGGGCTCTGATCACTTGGATCATTGCCTTAAGAAGAGCAGCATAGCTTTTCACTGTAAGGATCAGGGTCACCTGCTTCGACTTAGCAGTCAGCATACAATCCAGGAAGAATCATGTCCGATAAGAAGCAAAACTCCCCCGTCCCTCACATACTTGCCATCCTCCTCACGCTAATCTCCACCGTCTTCCTCGTTCTCGTAGTGCTTTACAATGTTCCACTCTCCTCTTCCGACAGATCCAACTTGTCTGGACGAATGTGGCTTTTGACTGTCAAACCGGCGACCTCATCAACCTTCTCCAGCAGTAGCGGTGGAGATTCATACGGATTCGGAATATGGGGCTGGTGTTCGTGGTCGGACGGGGGTCATGGTGATTGCACAAATGACAGTTTCTGGAAAATTACATCGGCCACCGAAGACGTCGGAAGCTTGGGCTTACCCAAATCCATCGCCCAATCAATGTCAACCGCCGCATTTCTGTTGACTTTCAGTAAGCACTAGTCGTCATCACTTGAATTTACCTTCAGGCCACTGACCAGCCACTGCTATCGTAGACTTGGTAACCACTATTTTCCTCTTGTGTGACCTCCTCTACACCATACATTTCCACTCTCACGCCCAACCCCGCATCATCGCCCCCCTCAAGCTCCTCCCTCCCAAGAAGATCAAGATGCGGACTTGGCACGCACAGGTTCTCAGGAACTTGTGGGCCTGCTGTCTAGCCGTGGTGTTTCTCTTGGCCTGGAGTCTACCTGTGATCGTGATAGTCGGAGTCGGGGCGGGTGATGTTGATGGAAGTTGGAGGGGCAAGATTGGTGTCGGCTGGATTTTGTAAGTGTCTCTTTCTACCATCAGTGTTTGCCGAAAGCTGACCAGGACTAGTACCCTGATCGCGACCATATTGCTGATAGCAGTCCGTGTCTTGCTGCTAATGGGAGGGTTATGGAACAACCCTTCGCACTCGGGGCGAAAAAAGTAACCCATCCCGCGACATGTAGAAGTCATGAAATGCCATGCAAATATCGTACCTGTAGATGTATATGCTCTATTCCTTCTTGTCCGTCTTTTCAGCCTTCTTCGCGCCAGATCCCCTCTTCTGTGCCGCCTCGACCCCAATACCCGCAAACACCACCCCCACACCACCCCACTGCCCTGGCGTAAGCTTGTGTTCAAACACAAACACACTGAGAAGCATGGTGAAGAGTTTGCGGGTGACGGTGACCATGACGAGGGTGAGCGATCCAAAGTGCTGGATCGTCTCAAAGATAAAAAGCTGACCCAGCCCGCCGAGCAGGGCATACGCCAGCAGAGGCTGTAGAGCAGCGGGGTGGGAGAGGAGGAAAGAGATTGACTCTAACGCGGCAGGAGGGGCAAAAGTGAGTGATGATGTGGGCAAGGTATTCGCCAGAAGCAGGGGAAGGTTGGCCAGGAGGGCAATTGGGTGGGATGGAAGGGGAATGAGGAGGAGGGGGAGAAGGATGATTTGAGTTGTGAGGGCCATGGTGAACATCATCTGTTGACCGGTGAATGTGGGGTAGGACGAGAATATTTGGTCTTGGGTCGAGTTGGTGAGACCGTCAATCAAGAGGCTAAGAATCATCAGCCAAGTACGGTCTCCGGAGGGCAAAAACCCACTTGACAAGCAATAAGACGAGACCCTGTATACTATCCGCCCCGCCCTTCTTCTTCTTTGGTGCTTCGGCCATCAACATGAACATGCTGATCCCCACCGTAACGAGCGCTACCACCACATACTTGTGCGAAGAGAATTTGCGCCTGTACAAAAGCACATTCAGGAGCAGCACGGGGATGAGCTTACACGACTATGGGATTGATTAGATGAGAGATGCAAAAGCAAAGAGAAGGAGACACGGACCTTGCCGAGAACCATGGTGGGATAAGAAATGTGCCGGAGAGCCATGAACCCGATAGGGCTCGCTATCGTCTGGAAGATCGATACCTGTACAAGCAGGGCCAAGAGCGACTTTCTGCCCGGCTTTGCTTTGGGAGCAACCTCTGTTCCAGCCTTCTCAAAGACCCCATTTTCTTCTTTCCGCTCCCCACCAAATAAATCATTCAGACCCAGCACTTTCCCCATTCCCCTCCCATTCCAGCCCTCTCTCCAAGCATTGAAAACCAAATAACATAACGCGCTCAGCGACGATGCGATGGCCTGGGCGAAATTGAGAAAGATCGGAGATGGGAATTTGTCCCCTGGAAGAGGCTCTGAAGGATCGTTCGGTTGAGAATCCGGGTGAGGGTGGATAGAGGGGAAGGGTTTGGATACTGCATGCCGTCAGAACAGGTTGAGCGGGGAAAAGAGGGTTGGCATACATCGTTCTTGAGCGATTGCCCAGAGAAGAAACGTAGCGTATACTCCAGATATACACACTGCGAGTCTGTTCCAGCATAAGCTTTTTTTGCATACTCGGGCGCAGCGAGCTTACCGTAGGATAGCCATGATTTTGCGAGAATAAAGGAACCCAACTTGAACCCAACAAATGCAAATCTCGAAGTTGCCATCGACGTGTCGCGTCCTTTTGATCCCGTCGTTCACGTCACTACTTTTGTCACCCAACCCTGCCGGCTGACGTTGCGCATATCAAATGGTATACATGAAACTAACTAGGATAAAAGACAACGATGGAAAATGGTACAACTGAAGGATACAACAATCTATGCGCTCAGCCTCCTGCTCCAAAAGTACCCCGCCACTCCCCGGTGCCAAACCCCAAAGCCTCCAACGGCGCCAACATCAACCTTCCCCACGTTCCCCTCAAAAGCAACACCCCGATAATCATCCACCACCAGTCTTTATCCCAACTCCCTATCTTTCCCACTTGTCTGCCACCCTTTCCTTGACCGTTGCCGTTCAAACTGCCGCCCATCATAGACCTGACGAGTCCTTCAGACGGACCCACTCCGCGTCTGACTGCCGAAGGCCGTCGAAAGATGCCAGGCATATGCAGTTTATTCAACCCCAACGATCTCTCTAGAGCATCCCTCCAGCTCTGCAGCTTGAGCATCAACAAGAACAAGAGCGTTTTTGCGAGATCCCTCTTTCGCCGGGGATAGCGGGGGTGGATGGAGTTGCCGGATTGAACGACGGGGTAGCCAAAGAAGGGGTTTGAGGACGAGTAAGGTTTGATAGAGAAGGAGGTTGTTGGGGGTGAGGGAAGGGGTGTGGGGAGGGAAGGTGGTTCTAGCATGACTGGGGATGCGGGGCGCTGTCCGGCAGGCGGGGATACGGATATCGTCTTCACCGGCTCTTCCGTTTCTTCGGGATCCTCTGGCTTTTCTATCTGCTTTTCCCTATCCTTCAACCCCAACTCTTCTTTCGTCCCAGTCCACTCTTTCAGCCACTTTGCGTGATGCTCCTGCAACATGCCCGAATACGTCCTGCCTGCATCCGCCGCGAGATCCTGCATATGCCTCGGTACACCACTGATCTGGAGGGATGGTCTCTTCTGCGGCTGCGGCACTTGTCCCGAAGGCGGGATGAGGTCTTGATCCAATAATGCCGGACGGAGAAACTTTCTCCTCCGCGTAAGCGGCACAGGAGGAGGCGGCGGATGATCATCCTCCGGATCAGAATCCGACAACAGATCGATATTTGCCAGCCTTGAAGGAGAGAGGTAGAGATGAAAGTCCGAGATGGACTTTATCCTCTGTAATGCACTGCTTGACTGGGTATGGGGATAGTGCTTTTCCTGAGGTGGGGATGGAGCGGCGCTGGTGGTTGTAGAAGAGTCAAAGACAGGAAGATGACGTGATGCAGGCGCGTTGTCGTCGGGCATGGCGATAGCAACAACATCAGGCGCCGAGGCCACCTTCTTTATCCCCTCCTTCACTGGCTCAAGCAGCACCCTCTCGTCCCGGCTTTTGGTCATCCTCAGCCTCTCCCCATACCCAGTCCGAAAACCCGAGCCCACCCTGCGCAGATGGCCTGTCGAGCTGTTTCGCCTGCTCATCAGCGGGGACGGGGCGAGGCTGCTGAGCGGGGTGTTGCGGGAGGAGTAGTAGATGTCGGCTATGGATGTGGCGGAGGAAGTGCGAGAGATGGTGTTGGCGGAGGGGATCGTAGGGGGATAGGAGGGGTGATGGGAGTAGTAGGTGTAGATGGGGTTGTTGGAGGGTGCAAAGTCGTAGTCACTCTCGCCTCCCAGCGCTACTCTCGTCAGATTCGTTCCTAACCTATCACGCATGTACTCACCTCGAGGTAGCCTCCCCACCTCGAATTTCTTCTCCAATGCGGCCTTGCTATCTATAAAGTCGACTCTTTCCAAGGCAGACTTTGGAAGCAGGTGTTTAACGACACTCCACATGCTCTGGTGTGTCCAACGAGCATTGACAATGTATACTGCCTCGAGTAGGCCGGGAAAGTTGTTGTGTCCAATAGAGAGAAGCGTCGGGAGAAGGTCCACTTCCTAGAGAGGGACATCAGCATGAGGACAAGAATGCTGTGCGACACTGACGAGATTACGATACCCAGCCCCGGCAGCATCGACCACCAACACCAACCCCTCTCCCCCTTGTCCCTCCGCCTTCCCCTTTGAAGCGCTGTTTGTACTCCCATCCCACATACCTCCCCCCCACCAATCCCTCGTGGTTCTCCGACACATCTCCAAAGCCCACCACATCCACTCTTTGACATCGTCCAAGCGGCCTTCGTCATCCCGCCTTATCTCGCGCACGGTGAGGACTGCCACGGGGCGACCTTGTCTATCCGTGTGTAGTGGAAGGGGCAGGACATGGAAGAGGGGCGTGTCGGTGTATGGTAATATGGCTGGGAGGGGACTATGCAGGGCCATGTCGAGCCGTGTGGAAAGGGTTGATAAGAGCAGTGCGTGCGCCTTGTCGGTGTCATATCGATTTCTCTGCTTCCCATGAGCTCCATCGACTGATCTGTGTCTGCACACACCCTCAAGCATCTCCATACCGACGCTGTATCGCCCACCCACTCCTGCACCCCGCGCCGGGTGTCGTCGTCCCACGCCTCCTGCGCCCCGAGACCGTCTACGTCAGCGGCGAGCCCCGCCTGGACCACCCTAGTACTCTCCAGATGCGCTGTGTACTCTGTCCTCCCCCTGTCGAGCATGCTGCTTATTTACTAGTTAGTTATATTTACCAGTCACAGTTACAGTTCCTGGTTGTATCACAGTTGTATATCTTCAAATGTTCATCACAGCCCGGCCCGGCCATCCAGCGGACATCCCCGCCTCCACGCGTCAACCGCGTTGCTGCTGTCAATAAATCTCAAAATTATGTACTACTCTCCATCCCAGCCACCCTCAAGATGCTCCCAGGGCCCCTCCTCTGTATAATATCCCTCGTCCTGCTAAGCGGATGTATGGCGGCAGAGTCGCTGTATAGCGTGCTTGGAGGTGAGTTGGACAGACGCTGCCACGTCGACATTGACTGACGATGAGTGTAGTCAAGAAGGGTGCTTCGGATGGTGATCTCAAGAAGGCATACCGGGTAAGAAGCTCTTATAATGCTAGTGAGAACAAGTCTTACAGGGAGGGCAGAAATTGAGCAAGAAATTGCACCCTGATATCAATCCTGACGAAGCCGCCCACGAACGCTTCATAGAAGTAGCCAAGGGTCCGTCTCTTACCTAGGTTTTTCAGTAAGTATGCTAATAGTATAATAGCTTATGAGGTACTCTCCGATTCGGAAAAGAGGTCTATATACGACAAACACGGAGAACAAGGTTTGAAGCAGCACGAAGCGCAGAAAGCTGGGGGTGCGCAAGATCCGTTTGCGAGGTTCTTTGGTGGAGGTTAGTTCTTCTATCTCTGGTGACGGGAGGGAGGGGAATGTGATGGTGAGAGGAGTAGTGGGAGTCTGTAAGAGAGTGTAAGGCTGACTGTTATCCAGGCGGCGTGCAAGAACAACGAGGACCGGGAATGATCACCAACCTCGAAGTATCTCTCAACGACATGTACACTGGTAGAACAGTAGAGGTCAGTCCCCTCCTTCCCTCTCCCATATGCCAGACTAATATGTTGTACAGTTCCAAATACCCCGCCGAGTCATCTGCCCACACTGCCATGGTTCCGGCGCCGAAACAGAACAGGACATCCATCAATGTAACCACTGCAACGGTCAAGGTGTAACCGTCCAACGGCACCAAGTCTTCCCCGGCATGTTTACCAACGTCCAAATGGCATGTCCCCACTGCGCCGGCAAAGGTAAACGCATAACCAAACAATGCCACGTCTGCTCTTCCGCCAAAACGATCCAAACGCAACATACCATGGCCATCAATATCCCCGCCGGCGCGCCTGAAGGGTTTGAAGAAGTCTTCCATGGCGAGGCGGATGAGCAGATTGGGATGGATGCTGGGGACGTTGTTGTCCGTGTGCGGAGTCGGATGGGTGAGGGGGAAGGGTTTTGGAGGAGGAAGGAGAATGGGATTCTGGGGAGGGTCACGCTGAGTGCTGCTGAAGTGAGTCAACTGAACTGAGGAAGGGAGGCGAGCTGATAAGAAATAGGCGTTGCTGGGTTTCAGAAGAGAGTTGCAGCACCTGGATGGACGCAAGATTATCGTCTCGCGCACCGGTACCACCCAACCAGCAGAGGTCGAAGTTATCGAAGGCGAAGGCGTAAGTACCCCTCCGGCCGGATACTCCCAAGCTGACGGAGCCCCGTGTAGATGTCTGGATACATGGACATTCCCCAAGGAGACATGTTTATCGAGTACTCTGTCGTGTTCCCCACTGAAGTCTCGAAAGAGACTAGGCAGAGTAAGTTTGGTTCTATCGCGGACGCTAGAGGCTGAAGCGTGGCGCTGACTCGGTCGTCCACAGAACTGCAAGAGGTGCTCAAGTATACCCCTCCCGTGGAACACGATGAGCTGTAGCAAGTTAGACGCAACATAGACACTCCTGCATAGATGCATTCTTTGGGATCCCTGAGTGCCACTTCTGCTGCCACTTGCCGAGAGATGCCGCGGGAATACCCCGTGGGGAAGAAGGTTCCGAGGATCACCTGCGATTGCGACTCTGGCCGAGTGGAGGTCGACCGCGTCTTGTGACTGGCCGTCTGCGAGAGTGACGACGGCCTGTCAGGGTACAGCTGGGTATTTATATCGCGCAATACCCCCCCCTTGCTGTTCCGTATCTCCATATTCTACCGCACACCTCAGCATCCACCATGACCAGGACCGAAGTGAGTATCGCTGCCATGCCATCTGCGTCTACACCACCCAGATGCTCACGCCTGTTCTCCCCTCTATCTCCACCAACGTATGTCATCGTCACTCCTCTCTGTCCATCTCCCCATCTGCCTTGTTCACTGCGCCCGCGTACCTACGCGCCGCCGCCACCATGGCTATCGCCCCACTCTCCCTTTGGAACACCCTCTGGACGACCCTTTATTCCCACGCTCCACAACCGCCTTGGATCGCCTTGTCTCCTGGACAACCCCTTTCACCCGTGATGTGACCATACCCCACCCCACCCAACTCACCCCCCCACTCCCCACCACAGCGCGACACCTACCCCGCTGCTGTCCAGAAGGACAAGCACTCCCGCTCCGGCCTCACCAAGACCGAACTCGCCCACAAGTCCGGCGCCGGCAGACACAACTGGGGTTCCCTCCGCACCAAGGGCGACGACGAGTCCACCGGCCGCCAGGACGGCGACCTCGAAGTCCTCGACGAGCCCATCCCCGACGAGGCCACCGACATATTTGTATTCGAGTCGGAGGGCGATGAGTTCCCAGTCGGCCGAAATCTGGCCAGCGATGCTGGGAATGACTTCAAGGGGTTGAATATTCAGCAGAGGGACGCAAAGTTTGAGTCTCAAGGCGTCGCGACGTCGCCTACCGAGAGCACTGGTAGCCTCGACTCTGTTGACAGGCCCGACCTCGGTAGGAGGGGCAGCTCTGTCACTGACCAAGAGCGTGAGAAGGCCCGCCACTTTAGGGAAGGCGTGCTTCACAAGAAGGCTGGTGAGTATATCATACCCTACGACTGGCAATACTGACCTACTCCAGGTCGAGGAATCGACCTCGCCGACATTGCCAAGACGTCTTACGGTATCGCCCAGTCGCCCCCTACCAACAGCTACATCGGCACCAGCCCTTCCAATGGATTCCATCTCGTACGTACCCCTTCCCATCTACCCGAATGCAAAGCTTACCCCACCCACAGTCCAAATAACCCATCATTGTATACCCCGTCGAACGCCATCAACCATTCATCGGCATTGTGCATTAAACCTCGTACTGTTGTGTTTCTCTTGTGTTGAAGTCTCAAAAAGAAAAGGAAAAGAGTTGTAGGATAGGAGGCAGTCAACAGGAAGCTGTAAACTAGAAAACCCATATCATGCAAGTGGTTCAGAAGTGTTATTTCTACAGCACAGCAAGACAACAGCAACGTCATCATATCAAGCACCCTGCCCTGTCGAATCATGGACAAACAGCCGACTCAACCTCGTCCGCTCTTCGCCCCCACCCTTCTTTCCACTATCCCTCCGCTTCTCGCCCGTCCTCCTTGCAAGCGTCCCTCCAATCGTGCCCCGATTCACTGTCTTCCTCCCCATCACGCCCATTGTCCCACCTCCCGACATCTCCTGCCTCTCCCTCCTCCCAACACCACCACGAATCGTCTTGATTGTCTCATCAAGCTCGCCCCGAGATAGCGTATTGCGAGCAGAGAGCTTGCGCGCTGACGACTGGTCTGCCCGATTGGGCTGCAAGAAGGGATTGTTGAAGCTCGACGGCGCTGGTTCGTTCGACCGCTGTCTAGGCGCAGGTGCAGGGCTCGATACGACCGTTGAAGTCGAAGCGATGGTAGACCCCGTCATATTCGCCTTGATCATATGCGCACTCATCTCCGCCCCAGCCTTCTCCAACGCCCTCCCAAAACTCGAAATCATCCCAAAGAACTCTTCGGCCCCTTGACCTTCATCTCTTTTGCCTCCCTTGTCTGCGTCCACAGATTGGGGGAAAGGGTTGGCAGAGGATGTCTTGTAGCCAAAGTATCGGAGGAGATGGTGGAGTTCAGAGAGGACTTGGTGGTGGATCTTTTGCAAGTTGGCGGATTGCGGTTTAGCTTTGCCGAGGAATTCGGTCAAGAGAGTGTGAAGAGGCTCTGACGACTGGAGTAGAGTCAGGGTGGTGGTGGCTTGGCGGACCGAGGACATCAAGGAAACAATATTGGAGGCAAGGTCGGTCAAGTTCACTTTGTCCATGTCAGCAGGCGCCATCTTGCTATGTGGGAGGAACTCACGACGTGCGGCTGGCTCTACAGCTGGAGTCTCTTCGGCAAACAAGATCAATTTGGCATTAGTGTTGAGCAGCACCTTGGCGAGGTAATGAAGCATTGTAGGGCAATCCGGACCTTTCGACGTTCTCGTGTCCTTCATCTTCAACTTCATTAGCGAAATCACAAGACGACATGTGCTCTGGCGCTCACCTTCAAAAGATCTTCAATTCTAAAGCCCGCCGCATTCCCTCTGAACGTACCCCTATTCAACCTGTTCCCCAGAGCCAATACGATCCGCAACACTTCTCTGAACCGTTGACTCTCGTTCAACTGATTGGCAGCTTGGCGCAAAATCATCAAGTCTGGCAGTATTTCGGCTATGCTGAGTTCAAAACGGCGGATAAAAACGAGTGATTCAAGCCGAAGTTGGAGATGGGGAATTTTGCTCAGCTATCCTAATTGTTAGCTGATGGCAGCATAGAAGGAGCAAGGGCTCACTTCAATAAAGTATTGATCCGCTTTAGACAGCTTCGAGACACTGCCGTTAAACATTTGCAGCCTTTCGGTCTTGTTGAGAGTCAGTCATGGTCACCAACCGTGATATTCGATTCGCACCTCTTCTTTTGTAGGTAACATCCTGCTGACCAGAGCCAAGTCATCGGCATCCAAAACTTCGTCATCCACTTCCAGTATGGCTTGCCGTATCTGCGCAGGAGACAGCCTCAGCCTCTTCAGCATGATGCCAATGTTATTCGAGCGTGCTAGATATCGGTCAGTTCATCAAACTTTGGGGCAATGGCTGACCTACTGATATCCAGTATCGAAACGACCGCTGGCTTCTTCTTCTCCACCTTCTCTGTCGCCGGATGTACCGCAAACACCTCCAACATCTCATCCACATCCACATCAAAGTCATAGTTTGGAGAAATATGTGTCCAAATCGTATCCTTCACCGCTGGTCCGTTCATCTTAGACCAGAAGAACGGCTTGAGTTTCTGATGCTGCGGTGGCTGAGGCTGAGGAGCGTGTTGAGCAGGTCTGCCTGGGAATGAAGGGGCCGGAGGCGGTGGGGGAGGCATACTTGAAGGGCCAGCTCGGGGAAGTCCTGGTGGCGGAGGCGGCGGGGGCGGTGGAGGAGGCATGCCGGAGTGTCTAGGGTTAGAAGGGCCAGGTGGGGGCGGCGGAGGGGGAGGCGGGGGAGGCGGGGGAGGCGGGGGAGGCGGGGGAGGAGCAACGCCAAGAAAGGACGCATTGGGAAGAGGTGGGGGCGGAGGCGGTGGCGGAGGAGCAGGAGAAACGATCACGGGCGGGAAAACCATCGACTGGCCCGATGACTCACTCGCTCCTATCGCGCCTTCAGTTTGCGAGGGAAGCCGAGGCGACAGAAGAACATCATTCTGTATGGACGTAGGCAGCTTGACCTTGAGCGCCGACCGGGCTTTTGTCCGACCAGGCTTCAGAGCAGCCACTTCGAAAGATCGTCCCTCAGAACCTTGTTTGTCTTCTGACGTCTTGGCCTCTAGCTGCTTCTGGGCTCCTGCTAATTGTTCCTGAGCTTTTGTGAGCTGTCGGCCAAGTTCTGTCAGGTGACTTTGATCATCTGACATGGAGCTCTTCAACTGAAGGACATGGTCGATAAGACTTTGTTGGATGTCCCGTGATGTAGCCTCGTCGGATGTTGACGGAGATGTCTCGATATGAGAAGACAATTCAAACAGGAAGCGCACATGCTGATCCTGGGCGTCCGCGCTCTGAGCCAACTGTCCTTCGAGATCCTCAATCTGAAAGAGGTCAGTAAGGATACTTCTGGGTCACATTGCACGCACCCTTCCTCGCAGCATTTCATTCTCAGCCTCAAGCAGACTCCTCCCTTCCTTCTCTCTTCGACGCTCAGACAAGTCTTTTTCAATCTGCAGCGCACTTTCGGGACGTTCATCAGAATCATCACTACAAAGAAACGGTCAGCATCGAAGGGAAGGCCAAGCGATCGACTCACACAGGGAGATCTAGAAGCTTCTTGCACTGGTCCGCGACACGTCTGACAGCTACATTCTGCTCCTCACTAAGAACGTCATGAGCTCGTGCGGTCTCTGCATTACCTTTGAGCCACTCACTCATCATACCTTTCCACGACCCGCCCCAGAAGCTCGACAACCTCTACCACAGCATCTTCATCCCTCTCATCCGCACCGCACTCTTCCAGCGCCACAAGCAAAGCTTCCACTGCCCCAGACGCCCTAGTGCCTCTGATACGACCAAGGTAGAGTAGCCGCAGATCTTCCTCGTCGTTCTCTCTATCGATATGGTATGCGTCGAGCTGTAGTAGGAATGCTTCCGGCGGTTCTAGGTCTTCCAACACCTGCCTCCGTGTGAGCTACCGACGATGTTACCTCCATAAATGGACACGCACCTCGAGTACACCGGACAAGCCACATCGGATCAACTCTCCTCTCAAAGCACACCTTTCCTCCAATCCCTCATTCGCCTGGATCAACGCGCAGATGAACCCCGCCGCCGCCATCCTCCACTCCCAGACTCCGAAATCCGTCTCATCACCACGTGACAAGCTTTCGACTATCCACGCAAATCTAGAAAGCTTTCCCGTCGATTGAGCAAGAGCCGATAGGCCATCGAGGATGACTGGGTAGGCTTCTCCTGGGGATAGTATGGTAAGGCCAGATAAGAGGTCGGCGATGGAAGCTCGAAGTTTTGGGGACGGGGTGAGGAGGCTGAGAGTCAGGGAGGTTATGACGGATGGATAGTCGAGTACGGCGCCGAATCCAGCCTAGAACGCATCAGTCCGGCTCTTGGCCCAGTGTTTGTCGCTTACATCAATGTTCATCAGAATCCTCAAACTCTTGACGGCCTCCCATACGATCTGCTCCTCCACATCGCCTTTCTCGAGATGCTTCTTGGCAGCCCCCTCCAACAATGCACCTAGATGGACGATACCTTTGAGATGTAGGAATTGGTGTATCCACGAGAGCTTTGCGGTGGAAAGCGTTACACGTAAAGAAAGAAGATGTTTTACTTGAACACTTGGAGGCCTCTTTCTACGTTCTGATCAGCATATCACAAGGGACGATATGACCACGTACTGTTCGAGCCCTTCGATGAAAGCAGCAGGACTACCATCCTCCGGCTTGGACGCCCCTGTCCACCAAGCCCACAATCCGCCAGTGCCCTGTTTCTCCATAGGCTTGGCAGATATATGTGGCTCCTTAGCGGTCTCGGGTGCTGGCTTCGGTGTGGACTCAGGAGCCTCTGCTACAGCTGCCGGCGGTGCCGAAGGTGCTGTCCAATCCTTGAAGCTCGTCAAAGAAAACCTCTTCGCCCATCCTCCTTCTCCACTCTCGCCCCCCTCCTTCTGCCCGTGCTCATAGCTCGCAAAGGACGGGCCCGTATACTGCGGTAACAACCTTGTAAGACCTATATTCGTGCCAGCGGAAAGAGAAAAGAAGGTCGCGGGATTTGATGGGGAAGTGGGACTGGTGGTCGAGGATGCGGACGAGCGTCGGTTTTGGGAGAGGATGAGGGCTTTGCGGGAGGGTGTGATGGCGTTCATGGCATCTCGCTTCGCCCCATGAAGGTTCAAGTCGTTCTGAAGAGGTCAGCGATTGACGGAGCGTAGTGGGATACTCACAAGTAGCCTCTCCCATTCATCTTCATCATAAGCGGCCTTTCCTGCTGGTCCCAAGGTCTCTCCCATCGCCTCCGTTAGCCCGTTCGTTACACCATCCGTATGTCCATCTTGGGTCGCACTCGCGCCTTGCAGCGTCGCGACAGCCAGAGGAGCCGTCGGCGCAGCTTGCGAAACCAAGGGCTGGAACAACCCCGCTAGCCGACGTTTCGAGCTTGGCGATTCTGCGACATGCGCTGCTGCAGTCGCCTTGATTGTGCCTCCTTCCGCTTCTGCCCCTTCTTCGCCGCCACCTTTACTTGATGATCCGTTAAGAAGCCAGTCTTCGTCAAGAGACAATTGTATTGTTGGGTTCTGTGAATGCTTGAGGGAGTCAAATACGTTGGCTTCGAGGGCCAGCTGCGTGTAAGAGCCCGTGTGTTCCATGGACACTTGCCACTGAAGTACATCATTGGGAGACCCCGCAGCACCTTGTCCAGCATAAGACCCAGTACTCGATTTGCTGACTCTTCCGGGAGCATTGGGAGATAGTAGGTCCGCCGTCGAGCGCGGGAGGCCGAGGGTGTTTTCGAGCTCTGAGAGGATTAGAGACAAGGTCGAAGATGTGGATATGGGGACTCTGGTCTTGAGAGGATCGAGCGAGCTGCTAGTCGGGATGGTGATCAGGATGACGATGATGGGTGTCTGAGGTTGTATCAGAGTAAAGCCGGTATCGAGAGGTAGTTTCTGTGTCGGCTCAAGGAGACCTGATATGCTTCGTCAGTCGTATGATAAGGTATACGGCTTCGATTTACCATCTGTATAGCTGCTGATGTCCGCCTCAGACCACCACTTGACACCCCGGGCAGCTCTTATCTCCAGCAAAGTCCAGTCCTCCCCCGTAACAGCTCCCTTCCACTCATTCGTCCCCTCCGCCCTGTCAAGCGCAACCTTGAGAGACTCTTCTCCATACTCCTCCTCAGCTTCGATCAAAGCGAGGTCGACGACGTCCTGTACGACCAGTTCCTGCGATGTTTCGACCTGTACGTCGCCGAGGCGGGGGATATGGATCGTCACGATAGTGCTATTGTGGGCGTCCATGGCGAAGAGAGAGCTGTAAGGGGTGGCCAATGGTGGGCCTCATGAGCATACCCGGCGTCTCGGAGATGCAGGGGATGCTGGAGATGGCTGACGAGAAGAAAGAGGAAGATAGATGCAAATGGGAAACCGCGTCTTAGGGCACCTGCCCCTGTCACCCGGTGGTCCGTGCGCACAAGAACGAAGAGGTCTGTGCGCAATTCACAACAAAGAGGAGACGGCGCACAGTACGTAATCGGCGAGCAGGATCTGAGTGCATAATAACGAGAGCAAAAGATGCAGTGACAGCCTGACAGCACCATGCATTGCAATATTATACCCTCATCTGATCGATATCCCTAATCGATATCCGTCCACTCCCCCTCGCTCCCCTCCTTGGCTCCGCTCGTCGCTCTCAGAGGGCCAGCCAGCGGACCCCGCCCACAAGCCTCACATGGCGGCGCATCCGTCCCCAACTTGAACCGCAGCTTTGGCAGATACATATGCCCCCCAACATCACCCATGATCTCCAAGAGCTCCTCTTGGAGTTTGCGGAGATACTTGCGGCGCGGGTTGGACTCGGAGACTGGGGCGCCGGAGGGGTTGTTCAATCCACGGGGGTTGGGCCCGTTACCCTCCTGGCGGTCGAGTTCCTCGCGTATAGCGCTATACTCGTCGCTCCCGTCGCTCTCATCGCTATAATCCTCATCGCTATCGCTCTCATCCTCCTCTTCTTCCCAATCAACGATATTCTCCAGGCCATACACCTCAATCACCGTATTCTCCACCACCCCTTCCCAATGCTCTGTCATAGTGCTGCCAAAAGCAGGACTCGAGTCTTCAAACATTTCCATGAAAAAGTCGATCACAGCATCTCGCGGCAAGAGCGCATCGCCCTCATGGGGCAAAAAGTCAAACGTCTCGGGGTCTTCGTGTTCAGAATAGTCCACATAGATCCGGGTGGTCACGCCAAATATGATATCGAATGCCTCTTTCAATTCCGTATGGATCGTCACCACCCGCGGTAAAGTGCCCTTCTTCCGGTCGACCCAGTCCAGTGCACGGAGCACGGGCACGGACGGGTGGTCGGTACAGCAGACGGCTTTGGGTAGAGGGCCGGAGAGGAGCAGGGATTTGTGGAGGGTGGTAAAGTCGTCTGAGAACTCGGTACGGATGATCTCGGTCTGCTTGCCCAACGAGCCGCCCCGGAACGACGGGTCGATGGCGATCTGGCTCAAGTGAGGGAAGAATGGGGAATTTTCTACCGGTGGGCGAGGCTGATGACGGATAATCGGTTGGAGAATCGTATTCGCAAGCTCGATAGACCGTGTTTGGTCGGCGATGATATCAGCGGTATCCCGCATGTCAATCTCCCAAGCGAGAGGGGTGATGCGGCGGACATGGCGCAGGAGGGGCAGCTTGGTGTTGCCGTGCTTCAAGTACATCATGTCTTTGTCCACGCCGGGCGTCTGAGAGGCGAGATCAGCAGGGACGGGGTTGTCGGCGCCGAGCAAAAAGTTGCCGATATCAAAGAAACCAGGGCTTCGATAGAGGATGGGGGCAACAGCGATGTAGAATGTCTGCAGCACGTCAGCTTGTTCCACATTAACCCCGTAAGACATACAGTGTTGACACGGAGACATGTGGCGAGGGCGCGCTGGGGCTGGTAGTCGTCAAATTGGAAAGAAGGCGGCTCGAGGCAGAAAGAGAGGACATGGGCCCAGAGCTCGGGAGAGAGCTGGGGCAGCTTTGTGGGGTCTTTTGCGTAGAGGGAGGCGGGGTACTCGATGTGGACCTCGTTGGGGCCGCCGGGGAGGAAGGAGAAGAGTTGTTTCGACATTTTGTGGGTTGTAGAGCCAACTAAACCATTGCTAAACCAAGTCGGTGCGATGAGGAGCAACACGTGGTTACGTAAAGGGCCGGCCGCCGATGGTTGTCCAGAAATATCCCAGATGACGTTTGTCTGCGCTGTTGGGATATAAAGTTGACAGCGCATCTCTCCTCTGCATCTGCATCTGCATCTGCATCTCTCTCGTCATCCAACATGGCCCTCTCCAGACATGTCGACGCCGACAAACTCATTCAAGAGGCCCGCGACCACCCCATCAGGAAACACTTTCACGACAGGTCGGGCGCCTCCGTCTCTCCCCTTGCACTTTCGCTTACCCTTTTCCAGAGCGACAGTCTACGACAACCCCTATACATCTCGCTATGATGTAGACGTCGAGGTGCCCAGGTTTACCATGCCCTCTGCGGGCGTCAACTCCAAGACTGCCTACCAGCTCTTGCACGACGAGCTCATGCTCGGTGCGTTGTTGTCGACTGCGAACGTGGATATGCTGACACGTGGTAGATGGCAACCCCAACATGAACCTCGCCTCGTAGGCCCCTCTTTATGAGATCTCGCTGAAGCTGACACTTGGTAGCTTTGTCCACACTTGGGTCCCCGACGAAGCCGAGACGCTCATCACGGAAAACATCTACAAGAACCTCGTCGACCAGGACGAGTACCCCGCTTCCCAAGCTGTCCATGAGCGCTGCATCTCCATGCTGTCAAACCTCTGGCACGCCCCCAAAGGCGCCACCGCTATGGGCACCGCAACCACGGGTTCCTCCGAGGCCATCATGCTCGGAGGCTTGGCTCTGAAGCGCCGATGGCAGGACAAGATGAAGGCGCAGGGCAAGGATATCCACAAGCCTGGGCCCAATATTATCATGGGTGCCGAGGCGCAGGTGGCGCTGGAAAAGTTTGCAAGGTACTTTGAGGTTGAGGCGAGGCTTGTGCCGATCAAGAAAGAGGTCAGTCTTTTCTCTTCAGAGGTCGGGTGCGTGCTGATGGGCGAGTAGGGAAGCTATGTGATGGATCCTAAAGATGCTATCAAGTACGCCGACGAGAACACCATCGGTGTCTTTGTGTACGCCCCTCTCTGCTGTATATTGGTCTATTGGAACACGCTGACCCAAAATAGCATCCTCGGATCCACCTACACCGGAGCCTTCGAGTCTGTCCAAGGCATGGCCAAGGAGCTCGACGCTTTCCAGGAAAAGACCGGCATCGACATTCCCATCCACGTCGACGGTGCTTCCGGCGGTTTCGTCGCGTGAGTCTCTCCTTTCCCACTTCTTACAGGTGTTGACTCGGCCACAGACCATTCGCATACCCCAACTATGTCTGGGATTTCAAAGTCCCCCGAGTGCTCAGTATCAACGCCTCTGGTCACAAGTACGGCATGTCCACCGTCGGTGTCGGATGGATCATCTGGCGTTCCGCCGAATACCTCCCCAAAGACTTGATATTTGAACTCCACTACCTCGGTGCTGTACGCTTCTCTTCCCATCCGCCAATACATCCAGAACTGACAAGAGGGTATAGACCGACTACTCATTCAACCTCAACTTCTCACGCCCCGCCCACCCCATCCTCGCCCAAATGTTTACATTCCTCAACCTCGGTTTCGCAGGGTACAAACGTATCATGGACAACAACCTCGCCAAAGCACGTCTCATCTCCCGCGCGCTCGAGTATTCTGGGTACTTTACTTGTCTCTCGCAGATTCACCGCCCGAAGGGCCTTGTCGATGACGGGGCAAAGCCGGGGATTGGTGAGACTGTGGGCCATATCGCTAGCGAGGCGGTACACGGCAAAGCACCTGGCCTCGACGATGCAGAGTACTATATTGAAGGTCTTCCTGTCGTTTCGTTCCGTTTCTCGGACGATTTCAAGGCCAAGTATCCGGGTGTGAAGCAGGAGTGGATTCAGATGCAGCTCCGAGCTTTTGGGTGGATTGTGCCCAAGTGAGTTGTACCCTTTTGTGTTGAGGTCAAGGATGCTGACGGAATCATAGCTATCCTCTTGCGCCGGATTGTGAGGATACCGAAATCCTGCGTGCAGTCGTGCGAGAATCACTCTCAGGCGACCTCGCCCGCAAACTCGTCCAAGACATCATCCAAGTGTAAGTCCTCCACCCTTACATCTCTGTTGCGCACAACTAACTTTGCGCAGTGTGGAAGACCTCATCAACGACGCCGGACCTTCCTACTCCATGTCTACCGCCGTGCGCCACCAAAAGCGCGAAGACCACGGCAACCTCACCGAACTCGTGGACAAGCTGCATATCAAGAAGAATACTTCTACTTATGCCAAGCCTTGTTAAATGCGGGTGGGCTCTGCTGTTGCTGATGTAGGAGGAAGGAGACGAATGTAGATGGGGAAGATTGTAGATTGAAAAAGAACAAGTGAAAAGAAGGAAGGATATGCACATATAACCAGATCATGATGACCATGCTTTCCTATGACTTTGACATCTCAACGTATCCATCTACCTATCTACTCAAAGGTCTTCCAGTCATATGCCGTCTCCCAGGCATACGCAACACGATAAATCGTGGCCTCGTCATACATCTTGCCCACCAACTGCATCCCTACAGGAAGCTTCGCTCCATCGACTTCCTGCGTCGGTAAGATTCCCACCGGGAAACTCAGCGCAGGCTGACCCGTCTTCAAGCTCTAGTCAGCGCCGGGCTCATCCACCATAAGCTAAAAGGGAGATGGAGAAGGGACATACGAGGTTGAAAGGACAAGTATTCCCAGTAAGTCCAGCGGCATTCTGCATCAACTCTTTCACGCCTGCATCCTTCGCTGGCAGTTTGCGCGGGAGCATGGGCAGTGTAGGCGTGATGAGGACATCGTACTTGGATAAAGCGGCGAGGTAGTCGTCTTTGAGCTTGCGGATAAGGTTTGTAGCTTTACCGACAATCTGGCAATGAGTCAGCATTCATACACAGGGAGGAGGTAGGGGAAGAAGGAGCTTACTGCTGGTGATTTGTTTTCCCATCCCCAAAGACCGTTCATGATGCCGTTATATCCACCGCAGTGCATACTGTCCACTTTCTTTTGGGTGAGAGGGAGTAGCTTTTCAGTGTATTCGTTCAGTGCGAGACCGCGGCGACCGGTAGCTTGGCCTAGCATCGTCCTCGAAGCACTGAATCGACCTATGACCTGCAATCATATCAGTGATCTGGGAAGCGCTTTAAAAGGGAGAGACTTGCCGCCCAGAGCTTTGGAGCTTCAACATGGAAAGGGACATTCACTTTTTCCACCGTTGCACCCTGCGCCCGAAGAGCTTCAGCAGCTTTGACAACTAGCTCACTGACCCGCTCGTCGTGCAACGGCATATCCAGACTCTCCTCGATGATCCCTATACGCAGTCCCGAAACACCTTGCTTGAGTAGTTCTGGATAAGCCGGGACTTGGGAAGGGAATGGGCAGCCAGCAGTGGAACGGTCGTCGATCCCATCTGCACCGGCGATAGCCTGGAGAAGCGTAGCATTGCCCAAGACATTCTGGCGAGCGTCAGCCTTCTTCTAGCTTTGAGGGAGACATTGCTCACTCGCGTCATGGGGCCGACGTGGTCCAGGGTAGCTTCAATACTGACGACTCCAGTATAGGGCACCAAACCGTGCGTAGGCTTCAGGCCCACGATACCAGCGGCCGAGGCAGGCATCCTGACAGACCCACCTTGGCATCCTCCCAAGCCAAAGTCGACTGCAGATGTGGCGACTAGGAAGGAAGTACCCGAGGACGAGCCGGTGACTGAATACTCAGCGGCATGAGGGTTTGGAATCGGCCCTGTGTTGTCGTTAGTGATACCCCCAGAAGAAAGGCGATGATATGTACCGGTCGCTGCAGAACACGATGCACCCCATAAACTCAGGTTCTCGCATACTGCCTTCCCTTTGATTATACCTCCAGCTTCAAGAAAACGTGTAGCTACAGTCGCATCTGTACTAGGAGTCCAGTCTTGAATGACAGATGTGCCGATAAGACATGGTACGCCCTTGAGGGTCATGTTATCCTAGAGCACGCAATGAGCTGACGTCCCCGCTTAGCCTGCCTACTCACCTTCAAGCATACCGTCTTTCCCTCCAAAAGGCCAGAAGATGTTTTCAGAGTCTGATCTCTGACATCGCACTGCCACGCCCAAGCGCCGGATTCATTCCCACTCTCTCCCCTCTCTACCCACCGCACATCCTTGCGCGGGAACCTCTCTTCGTCAACATTCGGGGCATAGTCATCCATATATTCCACATCTTTCCAGATTTCCCACATCCCTTGCAATATTGAAGTGTAGTCTTCAAGGTCTTTCCCTTGAGGCGGCCATAAGGGCAGAGGAGCGATGGCAGGGGGCAGCCTGGCGTAAAGGTCGGCGATGGTTTGGTCTGTGATGGGATTGTCGGGGGACAATACCTCCGGGGCGAGTGTGGAGGACATGCTGGCTTGAATATTGTGATAGTGGAGATGAGAATGAAGAGATCCATGTTACGTATCTGTGGTGATTATGAATCGGACAAGGCCGCCAGAGATAAATGAGAGCCAGGCACTATCTACATCGAGGCGAGATGGGCGAAATGTAGATGAGATCTGCGTCCAAGAGGCGTGTGCCTCGATGGGTATGTTCCAACTTCCAGGGGCGAAGCAAGCAGAAGCATCAAGCAAGCGCAGGTGGAAGTGTAGAAGATGACAACAAGTAATTAAGGCTCACTCTTAGCGGCCTCCCGACTTTCCCTGAGCGGGCCTGAGCCGGCCGCCCCTGGCCCGCTATACAGTGGCTACATCACAAACTTTTGCCCACTTCTCTTCTTCATCATCGTCCTATAATCTACACTGTGTATAATTCCCTACATGACTATCACCGTCACACCGGTCAAGGCTCTCAAACCACCGAATTCCAACTCTGCCGACAATGTTCCAAGACCCCTGACGAAAGAAGAGCTCTGGTCGGCATGGGAACTCTGCCCTTTCCCACCATATCTTCAAGTGGCCGAGGACGAGTAAGCCTTCAGCCCATGAATATGTGATCAAAGTCTTACTGGGATTGTAGCTTTGATATCCCCACTAGATACCCATCCCTCCGACTCACGTATGAACTCGTACCCCCCGCCATCGCTGCTGAGAACCATGCCATCCGCCTGTTCCAGGTCCACATCCGCGACCAAATCCTACGCTTCTGCACTCCCAATGCTGATCTTGGAGAGTGGTTAAGGTCCTTTCTGTCTTGGAGAAACGGGAGAGAAGGGAGAAGAAGGCCACGGGAGGATTCGTTAGGGCTGTCGATGGCTGAGGATCATTGGGTGCAAGGGGCAGTTTCGTAAGTATCACTTCTTTTGACTTGCTGTCTGCTGAGGAAGGATTCATGGGCTGAACTTTGTCTCTATAGAGCATTTCGTTCGGGTGACTATAAAACAGCCTTATGGAAATACGCTACCAAATGGTCCTACATCCTTCCATTCCATACCGACGCTTTCCCCTCGGGTCATCCCCTGGGGCAGAAGATCGGCGAATTGTAAGTCTCCCTGACCCACCTATCATCTCTCTGAACTGATTTCATACTCCACCTGTCCCAGCGAATCGTCTTTGTTCAACCACCTAAGCGCATGTTTCTTCCAACTATCGCAAGACGGGGATGAAGGCGAAGAAGATGAGATCCTCCGCTATTTTGTCGACATGTCTGTCAAATGCGCGTGGGTGACCATTCACCATCGTCAGTTTGCAACCGTGCGTTCAGTGTATGAAGCTAGTGAGTCACCCCTGTTTGTTTCTGGCTCTAGCGACTACCATGTTCCTAACGAAACCTCGCTTCAGCTCGAAGGATAGCCGATCTCTTCAACCAGCATTTCCACGACCAAGATTTCTCGTCCTCGTCCTCTTCTTCCTCAATTGGCGAAAACGACTCGTCAATAGACAACGACTTTTATGTCCAAGCTCTTGCCCTAGAAGACGTCGACAAAGATATCATATTAGGCAACCTGGGAGATGAGAAGAAGACCGTGCTCGGGAGTCTGGGTCCGGTGCACTGGGAGAGTTCTCGTGGGGAGGCTGGGGATTTTCTCGGTGCGTATCATGTCTCCACTTTCTTAGGATTTCAACTGACTTGTGGTAGAAATGTTTCCACACTGGGATCGGAATCAGAGTGGAAAAGAGGACGCAAGAATGGTACCCGAGAGCCTTTCGCACGATGGCCTTTGGTCAGCTTGGGCTCTTACCCCAAGCCTTGCGGACAATGACAAGTAAGTCTCTCACCATCCTGCGTTGGGCTCTTGGCTAATGCTGGGAACAGTGCCGCGATTATCTGTACTGCACAACTTCACCTAATGGAAGTCCTCTACATCGCATCTCATACGTCTCACCACGGCCCAGATTTCCAAACATGGCTTGAAAAGCTCAAAGTCGTCGATACAGCGAGTGTCTCATTAGCAGAGCGTGTCGACCGAGCAGATCGGAGAAGGGTTGCTGCCATGAAGCAAGTCTCCTCTTCCTCTCTCCCTCATACCACCAACGCTGATCATCGGAACTTCAGCTGTATAAACACAGGCGATCACCAAACAGCACTAGCAGAGTATGCAGAAGGCCTAGGGGAATTGCTGCCGTTCCATTTGAACGTCCTCACGCAAGAGCAAGTGGATGGAACGTACTTTGGCTGGATGTACGTTTCCTTCTCGTCCCCAATATACTGCTGGCTTTTCACATGATGGCTGATATGATATACAGACAAGCAACATTGTGGAACGGCATTTGCACCATCTGTCTTGCTCTGTCCGAATCCCCGAGCGGAGTGGCAAAAGAAAAGCTTTGGAAAAGGCTGGCATTCATGAGTGGATCGTTTGCTTGGGGGTGGAAAGAAAATACCACATTACCTGTAGTCATGTCCATCTGTGCGTCCCTTCTCTTCCCACTTCTTCAGGTAATTTCGGGGCTGATAATACCTTGCACAGGCAAGAACTTGCTTTCAACCCTTCCTAGACAGACCGACGTTCCATCCTCCCTAGACCCTCCTCTCCTTCATCTCAAATCCACTTTTGAAAGGCAGGTGGAACAACAGTGTGAGATGGTGAAGAAAGGGGAGAAACGGCAACCCGAGCAGTACAAGATTACTAGCACGGATGGACAGTTTTTGGCCGATTATGGTGCGCTGGGACCGGGATCTTGGATAGATGAGTTGAGGGGTATGAAAGGGAAAGTGTTCCTACAGTAATACATGCTAGAATAGGACGGCTTAAATAATAGACCTGTCACGTATAGTTGTACGTTACATAGATTATAATTCACATAATTATATGCCTAGGTTATGCTACTTGCTACAAATATTGTTATACAAATCCACACTCCTGGTCGAACCCGTCCTGAACACTTCTGGCGATTAACCAACCAATCATGAACACCAGCCCAATCTATGCGGGGAGGAAAGCTCATTTGAAGCGACTAAGCTCCTGCATGAGCCTCCCCTCTTCCGCGCTCGCTTCCCGCCCCCGCCTCGTCGGCCTGTACTCTTGGTCCCCGAAAAGCTCGCCGAAACGTCTCCGCCAAGCAGAGTATTCGGCGTCGTATACGTCGAGTGTCAAGGCGACTTCAAGGATAAGGATTATCAAGAGCTGAGAGACCGTCAGTGATCAAGACTTAGGTTGAGAAATGGAGGGAGCGGGAAGAAGAGGAAAGGATCGGAGACAGGACATACGAATCCAGTGATAAACCAGCCCAAAGCAACTGTTGCTGTCGCATATTGACACCAGCTGCCTCCATCTCTATACGGCTGACAAAATTGAGTCTGGGAAAAGCGAGCAAAGAGACTGGCGTCTAGGGATAGAGCTGCCGAGGAGACTATCGAGCGGGTCAGATCTGTGCCCGGGTGTAGTAGGAAAAGGAAACGTACTGAGAAAGAAAATGAAGAGTGCTGTGATGGAAGCCACATCGGCTATGACGGACACATATAGACTATCCGGGAACTTCACCACGAACAGACCACTTTGACATCATCAGCTTGGCTACTTGGCAACATTGAGGATAACGTACTAGGACAGAAAGTAGACAGACGCTAATATACTGCCTGTCATGATTGCTTGAGCTGCAGGGTATTCTGCGGGATAAGACGTCCCTTTGACTATACCACACCCATGAGCGACAGTACTAAAGTGAGGAGGGACGTACAAGCGTGGACCACCCTGGAAGTGAAAGCGCCAGCTATGGCGGGAGTAATGATAGCGACGGCGGCAGTGAGCCACTTGAGAAAGGTGACTGTTGTCGATATAGGCGACATTGTAGATGTTTGTGTTCAAGATGCAGATGCCGAATGAAGAGACGTCTTGGGGCGATGTCAGGGCGATGCTAGCGTGTGTTGGTCGATATTCGGTGCGCTGCGGTACGTCTTGGCAGCACACCAAGGAGAGTTGAGTATTGAAGAGAGAAGAAGGCAAGAGAGCAAGAGAAGAGAGAGAGATAGAATCTTATTACGTATGTATAGTCTTAGTTCTTAGTGGTTGCCATCCTGGCAGAGGACCCCACACGCAGAAAAAAACATGCGTCGGGTTTCGGCGACTTTATTCCAGATGTGTATGTAACAAAATAATGGGCCGGCGCGTTCCTGGCTGCGTCATCGCTTCCGCCCATCTCCTCTTTCATTTGGTTCGTTTATTGTAATACATCGATCGTATACATGGGTATCAGATCAGGATAGAGGAATTATGGGTTTGTGGCAAACAGCTACCGTCGATTGTCGTCTCACTGACACAAACCAGCTTGACTGGCAACGTCCGACGCCACATAGACGAAAGGCTGGCCAGCCGTCCAGGTGATGGTGATATCGCCCGAGTCCGAGGTAGTCGACCAATCACATGAAAGAAGACTAAAATCAAGTCAGCAAGGTCCAACAAAGAGAGGGAAGGAAACATACTCGACAATGGAAGCAGAATTGCCAAAGTCGGCGCCGCTGACAGTCCAAGTGCCAGTCCCCGATCCACCTCGCTACAGCCAGAAATCAGCACCAGTCAGCACAGAAGATGAAGAGACAAACCTTGGTCAATACAGCCAGAGCATTGCCCCGCTTGATAGCAATATCACTATCCTGCTGGGCTAAGACCTCCCCAACAGTCTCGTAAAAGCTACTATCAGCCCCTCCCAGCCCAGACCTGATCTTGTTCAGATTCTTAATCCTCCCATACGTCTCCCCAGAAGTGGAATAGTCGTTATAATTCCACAACGCTTCGCGGTTCTGCGGGTCCCCAGGCCCATCGGCAATATCTTGCTCCGTGCCCTGATACACAATGGGAATCCCGCCATACAAGAATTGCCCTACCAGCGCGTTCCAAACCAACGTCGTGTCATCCGTCAACGAGTTCACCCGGGGGAGGTCGTGGTTGTCGAGGAAGGTGCCAATGACTGTCGGGTCGGCGTAGTACTGAGCAGCGTCGGAGATGTAGCCTGCCAAGGTGGAGGTGGTATCGGAGCCGGTGAATGTGTCGATGAGGCCCGTCTTCATGGGGAAGCCGAGGGTAGCGTCGAGGGCACCATCGCCTTGGAACCCTGCCACATAGCTAGTCTCCATGAGTTCTCACTCTCCAGCAAGGGAGAAGAAAGCTTACCTGGTGTTGTCTTCAAAGATCTCGCCGATACAGAAGATACCAGCCGCCGCACACAGGTCATGCTGGAAATCCGTACCCATATGCCTACTAGCATCCACCCTCAGCCCATCGATATCATAATTCTCCGCATACTCCTTTATCCAATCTTTCAACACCCCAGCAACGGTGTCATCCTCCGTTTTGAGATCCATCATAGCTACAGCCCCATTATCATCCCCTGTAGTCAACCAACACTGCCTGATCGAGTCTTCATCACTGTAATCGATATCGCACCGATCATGATAGTTGGAAGGGTCCTTGAAAAGAAGTGTACCGTCGTTCGCGGCAGAGAGGGAGTCGGCTGAAAGGGTGGATGAGGCGGAGGAGAGGGCATTGAGGGCGATGTCGGCCATGAGATACATGCCCCTGCTGTGGAGGGCTGAGGAAAGCGCTTTAAGGTCGGTTTCGTTGCCGAAATGGGAGTTGAGCTGCGTCGGGTCGGACGTCCAATAACCCTGTCAAAAGCATCAGCTTTCCATCCCTTCTCCCACGGAAAAGATACTCACATGGTAAGCCTCGCCATACTCTGTACTCCCCTCAACGTTCAGAGCGGTCGGACTGATCCACACCGCATCAAAGCCCAAGCTCTGGACGTAGTCGAGTTTGGAGATGATGCCTTGCCAAGTACCGCCGCAGTAGGTGGTCGAGCCCAGGGGGCAAGAGGCGGAATCGGAGGGGGAAGCGAAACGGTCGGTTACGATCCTGTCGAGCTTGTTAGCTTGGGATATACAGAGGGGAAGGAGGACATACTGATAGATAGACCTCGACCTCCACTCCTCACTGGTAGCAGCTTGAGAGAGCGCAAGGAAGGGTAGAAGGGCGAGCAACTTGGAACGAGCGGCCATGTTTAAAATAGTGTGGTTGTTGTTGTTGTCTGTACGAGTATTATTATATATTATTATAGAGAGAGGGGAGACGGGAAGAGACGAGAGGAAGAGGGAGAAGGAGGAAGGAGGTCTGTGAAAGAAGTTATTTGAGGGGGTGAAGAAAAGTGAAACAAAGGAAAACACAATTATGCTCAAAGGGAGTGACCGAGTGAGTCTTTACGCCAACATCCAGGCCTAAGATTGACCACGTCACTGCACCGCTACATACTAAACAATCAACAGAACAAAAGAACAGTCTAGTGTATAGATCTAGTATCATATCGAAATGTTATTTGGATGTTTACTCCCTCATAATAAACGCGTTCGATCGGCCATCGGCTGTCTATCGGTCTTATCTCGGATGTTCCTGAACTACGACGGAATCTCTTTTTGGTGCTTCGTTGTTTGTTTGCGTACTTTGCGTGTGGGTTGGATGCAGAGCATGTATGAATATGGTGACTGGCATTCGGAGTGCCGAGATGGCCAATGTTCATCTCGCTTGTCAGAGAGAGCCGGTGAATTCGTGGTGGAACGAACAAGGAGATCCTCGTTTCGTAAGATTACCGCCGACGGAAACAAATTTCATAATCGTCTATGTAGGTTACTGACAAGCAGCAACCTTCAATCTATTGATTCAGTGGCAAAGTCCAGCTTGACTAGCAACGTCCGAAGTCACAAAGACGAAAGGCTCGCCAGCCGTCCAAGTGACGGTGATGTCGCCCGAAGACGAGGTAGTGAAGGTGTCACACGAGATAAGGCTATCAACAAAATCAGCAAGGTCCAACAAAGAGAGGGAAGGAAACATACTCGACAATGGAAGCAGAATTACCAAAGTTGGCGCCGCCGACGGTCCAAGTGCCAGTCCCCGATCCACCTCGCTACAGCCAGAAATCAGCACCAGTCAGCACAGAAGATGAAGAGACAAACCTTGGTCAATACCGCCAGAGCATTGCCCCGCTTGATAGCAATATCACTATCCTGCTGGGCTAAGACCTCCCCAACAGTCTCGTAAAAGCTACTATCAGCCCCTCCCAGCCCAGACCTGATCTTGTTCAGATTCTTAATCCTCCCAAACGTCTCGCCAGAAGTGGAATAGTCGTTATAATTCCACAACGCTTCGCGGTTCTGCGGGTCCCCAGGCCCATCGGCAATATCTTGCTCCGTGCCCTGATACACAATGGGAATCCCGCCATACAAGAATTGCCCTACCAGCGCGTTCCAAACCAACGTCTTGTCATCCGTCAACGAGTTCACCCGGGGGAGGTCGTGGTTGTCGAGAAAGGTGCCAATGACTGTCGGGTCGGCGTAGTACTGAGCAGCGTTGGAGATGGTGTGCGCGAGGGTGGAGGTGGTGCTAGAGCCGGTGAACGTCTCGACGAGACCGTTTTTCATGGGGTAGCCGAGGGTGGCGTCGAGGGCGTTGTCGCCTTGGAACTGCGACACATAACTGCCCTAATCAGCTCTCACCCTTCGAAAGCGGGGAGGGTGCGCACCTGGTGGTATAGTCAAAGATCTCGCCGATACAGAACGTACCGGCCGCCTCACACAGATCATGCTGGAAATTCTTCCCCATATGTCTACTAGCATCCACCCTGAAGCCATCGATATCATAGTTGTCCACATAGTCTTTTGCCCAATCCTTCAACACCCCAGCAACGGTGTCATCCTCCGTCTTGAGATCCATCATAGCGACAGCCCCATTATTGTCTCCTGCAGCCAACCAACAATGCCTGATCGACACTTCATCGCTGTAATCGATCTGACAACGCTCATGATAATTGGCAGGGTCTTTGAAAAGCAGGGTACCATCGTTGGCGGCGGAGAGCGAGCCGGAGGTGAGCGTGTAAGAGGTGGAAGAGAGGGCGTTGATTGCGATGTCGGTCATGAGGTACATACCCCTTCCATGCAAGGCCGAAGAGAGCGCTTTGAGGTCAGTCTCGTTCCCAAAATGGGGGTTCAGCTTGGTCGGGTTGGACGTCCAGTAACCCTGGCCCAGAGTATCAGCTAATCCATCCCATTGCCAACAAGAAGAAAAGACCAACATGGTACCCCTCTCCATACTCTGTACTGCCTTCAACACCCAATGCCGTCGGACTGATCCATACCGCATCAAATCCCAAGCTCTGGACATAGTCGAGCTTGTCGATGATGGTTTGCCAAGTACCGCCGCAGTAGGAGGTAGAGCCGAGGCTGCAGGAGGTGGATGAGGACGAGGGGGCGAAGCGGTCGGTTATGATTCTTCACGTCTATCAGCTCGGAGTTGAGGAGGTGAAGAGGAACGTACTGATAGATAGACCTCGATCTCCACTCTGCACTGGTAGCCGCCTGGGAGAGGGCAAGGAAGGGAAGGAGGGCCAGCAGCTTTAAAACAGCAGCCATGATTCAAGCAAGTGTGTTGTTCTAGATTTCTATATATATTATAGAGCTTAGGGAGATGATGGAGGAGCAGAGAGGAGGAAGGGTGATTTTGAGAGTGAATGAAGACTGGATTATCCGTCGAGTCAAGGTGAAACAAAGAAATTATACAGCGCTCAACGGGGTGAACCTTGACGTCAAGCATCAGGCCGAAGATCGACCATTCCACTGCCCTGCTGCATTCCAAACAGCAGGCTAGCACTGTTCTGAAATGTTGTGCGCAACTTTACACTCCCGAAAACCCGTGCCGTTCATTTCCAGTTGTTCAAGATGTTCCTGGACTAGACGCAGAGCGCTGGTGGCTGGCGGAATCTCCGTTCTGTTTGTTTTGCGGTGCCTCCGCATGGACGACGTGGTGGCTTGACAAAGAGTGAAACTGAGTTGGGGGTTCGGAAAGCGTTGTTGGGATGGGGACAAAGAAGCGAAGCTCCACTTTCGGAGTGCACCGAAAGACGATTCACGTCACGGAGGCAACGCAAACGGGGCCTGTGCAGAGCACAACGCAAGAAACTTGCAAGAAACCGGTTCAAAAATTCCCGTCTTGCCTTGCGTTGCCTTATATCTACTTGGAGAAAACTGTCAAAACTATGAAAACCATTCCACCCATCCTCGCTGGCATGTATATTCCCCACCAGAATTTACGTGTCCTCCATCATCCATCATCTCCATCTCCGCCCAGCACGAAGAAGCAAATATCGAGTTACTTAAGCTTGCCAGACTTCCCATTATTGGGGAGTCGTACAAGGCTGAGTGAAAGAACGCTAATCGAGAGCTTTGGTGGCTTGAGAAGGAGTATGGGCTGGACTAGGTTGGCGATGTACAGCCGCGTCCATGCACAAGTACTGTAGAAGTTGGAACAGCGCAAGGAAGGCTGGGCCGTGGTGCAATCTACGTTTTTTGACCGATGCTTCGGTCATATCATATCTTCTGATTACACCCATGCAGTAGCAATGTGCATATACAACGAGATAGATGTCATGTAGAAAGCGCACAAGCTGGTGAGCTGACGAGATGCGCGCTGCGGTGATGAATCAACACGCGGCCAGTGAAAGGACCCCTGCGGTGTGGAAAGTGCGATCTGTCTATTCAGGCCTGGAGCTGGCGCCATATAAACACTCGCTATTACTCCAATTCATATCTCCTTTTCGTTCCTCCTCTCCATCTTCTCTCTCCTCACACCCCCCAGCCCCAAAATGCCGCTCCAGAACTCCCCAATTCCCCTGCGACCCAACCAACGCATCCACACCACCGCTCCTACTCTCCGCAGAGGCAAGACCCTCAGCGACAAGCTCATCGAAGCCCGGGACGACAACACACTCTCACACGAACGAGAAATGCGCAAGAAAAAGTCTTTCGGGCGTGAAGTGGGCATCGGCGTTGCTTTCTTTCATGTACGTTCGTCTCACCCCTCCTCTTGCCTCCTGTACCCTTCCTCTCTAATGGGGCCCCCAGTGCTGATGGGTCAATAGGAAGACACGGTGGAGAGCATCGAGAGGTTCATCACCCCGTTCAAGCCCAAAGATGATGATGAGGATGACATCGCCGACGCCGCTACCAACGAGAAGAATGCCCGCAACGGAGCCAACAGCAAAATCACACCACCTGCCCCCGAGCCTACTGTCACCGACGACGTTCCAGCCCCAGCCGCCTCGGACCAACATGCCCCTACCCCCTTTCCCACGATCCCCAGCCTCATTCTCCCCCCCAAACCCTCCCGAACTCTCCCTGCAGGTGAGGAACGAGCGAAGATCGGGCATCGCAAGAAGCTTAGTCGGGAGATTGAAGAAGCGCGTGAGGAAGATCGGTTAAGGGAGGAAGAACTATTCAAAGAGAAGATGGAAGCGTTGACCACTGTTGATCACGATGTACGTCTCAACCTTGTCTGCTGGTGTGGCAGTGCTGATAAGGTGGATAGTCTGTCAAGTCTTCTGATGAAGTCAACGATCCATTCTCTACGACTGCCTCTCGCGGCTCGGTAACCCCTTCTTCCGCCTTATCTGAAGCTGCTACGATTCACATCGACAATGAGAACAGTGAAAGCGTGTACACACCGCCCGAGTCGGCGTTCAAGGACCGAGATGAGACCATGGCGCAGATGAGGAAAGAGATGGCAGCGATCCGAGAGGCAAAGAAGTTGAAGCTTCAGGGCTTCCCTTTGGATGATGACATCTCGTTCACTCCGAAACAGGTACGTGACTTTACTGTTGACTTGGCTGTCAGCGTGCTAATGGGATGATACTATAGACTGTAGAGGCCAGGATCATGCACGATACCAACCATGCGCCCGGCCGCAACATCTTCGACCCGACCAACCCCATCCCACCCAAGCCGCTCCCGATCGATACCCCCATCGAAGCCAACGATCCAGCTTTCACCGGCCAGTCGACCGACAAGTGGTCTTATCTCCCCGACACGGCAAAGGTTCTTGCTTCAAAGATTTTGGGAGTCTCGGGGCTGGGCTCTTTCTGGGGGGAAAAGATGGTGGAGGATGGAGGAGCTATCGTCGTTGATGAGAGGGATGGAAAACCGCCCGCCGACAAGACCAAAAAGACGTAGGCGTTTGTCAACGGTAGGGAAATAGTGAAGAAGAAGATTAACTTGGGCTGGGTCTCGAAGGGTGAGGTAGGTGAAAGAGACGAGAGAGAGGGGGGAGTGATTGTTTTTGATTGTAGCGCACGCAAGAGATTCGAATAATGTTAGAGTGTCACCTGTAACCCACAATAGTATTGTTGGCACTATATTTGTATCTGCTCAGATGGCAGTGTTGCATGTCAATGGTACCCCTTTCTGCGCTGCACGAAATACAAAAATGGCCATAACGAGATGCCAAATGAAATACGCAGGATCTGTAGTCACCTTGGAAACCGGACCTCGGAGGAGGGAAGTATTTGTCGCCGAAGAGGTACGTCATTGACCATCGCTCCTTCTCTGCCGCCCATGGCTGTTCTATCTCGCAGCAGGATAGCGTGTATTGCATACCTTTCGGCCTTCCGTGACCATGGTGCTACATCAATGAGGGCGTCAAGCTGTCGCGTTGAGTGATGGCCGTCAGGAGTATCTCCTAGCCGATTCTTCGTTCTTCAGTCAGACATACCTCGCCCAAGGTCGTCTCTATGACAGTCAAGGCAGCACTTGTATATAACAAAAAGTGTGATCTCTATACGACGTGAACATGCAGAAGCCTCTCGTCAGCACGTCTCTTCTGCGACACAAACGGGGGGGATTTTCCATCATGCATCCATCCCTCTCCGTCGGCGCCTTGGCCATCTCATCACACACCGGTAATGAAAGCACAAATGAACGGGAAAGGAGGTGCCCATCACATCAAGAGGTGCGCCCTTCGCCGCGCATGCCTCCACCCCGGCCATATTCTCATCTCCAGGAAAGGTATATATACCCCCCCGCTTCCTCTTCTTCTTTTCTCCCACCCACCCTCATCAATCCACTCTCACTCTCACTCTACAACAATACAATAAACACAAGGATGTCTGGCTACTTGTACGTCCCCTCTCGTCATACAGCCCTCCATCGCTCACACCATCCAAAGCCGCTCTCGTCTCGCCCCCTCTCTTCTCCAGGACTCCTACCGCCCCTTCGCCCGAGGCCACTCTATCGCTACTGGCTACGGTACTCGTCTCGGCGGCTACGCCCCCTCCTACCTCAACTCTGGCTCTTACCTCGGCCGGGGCGCTGCTGTCATCGACGGTGCTTACTCTAGATACGGTACCGGCTATGGCTCCTACGGTGGCTATGGTTATGGCGGCCTTGATGGTTTCGTCGGTCGTGAGCTGATCGCTGTAAGTGGGGCCCTTGGCAAAGAAAGAAAATGACTGACGTTATACACAGCCTACCGAGGTCATCAACACCACCGTCCGCGCCATTGCTGCTCCCACCATCGTCGAGCGCACTCGTGAGATTCCCGTCCCGGTCATCGAGCGCCACATCGAGAATGTGCACCACCACCACCACCACGACCGTGTCGTCGAGCGTATCGTCCGCGAGCCCGTGCACGTGCCCATCACCGAGCGCGTCTCCGAGTCTCACTCTCACGTCAACCACCACCACGGCTCCACCTATCCCGGTGTCCATACTTTTCCCGGCCACAGCCACGTCCACGGGCACGTCCATGGCTTTCAGGGCGGGCTCAACGCCACCTCCTGGGCGGGGTGGTCTGACCGCTTTCGTTCCCTCGGCTCCGACTTTGCTCTCCCCCACCTGGACCGCTTCCCCGAGCTCTTCCACACCTCCCATTTTCGCGACACCCTCCTCGAATACAACAACCGCTACAACCTTCTCCCTCCCTCCTCCATCGACCGTGTCCTCTCCCTCTCTCCCGCTAGCCTCGGCGAGTACATCGTCTCCCACGGGCACGAGTTTGGGTCTTTCACCGACGGTGGAGAGCTCATCTTGCGAGGACACCCCGAGAGGCCCGAGTATACCCTCGCCCTCTTGGCCTATTATGGTGCATCGAGGAGGTTGGGTCAGTTATCCTTCCCGGTTAGGTTCGCTTACGGGGACTCTCACGTGGTTTGTAAGTCCTCCTTATTCTTTCGTAGGGATGACATGAGGCTGATGAGAGGTGATAGTGGAGTAAGCTCCCAACCAAGTTCCAATCCTGGCTTCCCACACAACTTCGGCCCTATCCTCAACCTCAATATGCCTATCCTGTCTATGACAACCATCGATAAGCCCTCTCCCTTCAATCCTGATAGTATAAGCAAAAGAGAGATTTGCCGCGTATCGAAAAAAGACGTAGAACGTCGTGCACATTCGTTTTTCTGGTAAACTGCTAGTAGTCTCTAGTCTATGCAGTGTGTGATATATAAAGCAACGGCATCCAAAAGAGAAACGATCAGATACCATTTGCATTTGCCATTACTCTCTCCACTACCTAAATCATCAACTTGTACATCTCAACAATGGACGACATCCGACAAACGATAAACGACACACAGTACTACTCTTGTCGCCCCTTCCCCTTGATACTCATTCCCTTACTACCCCTCCTCTCTGGCGTCCTCGACCTGCTCCTGCTCCTAGTCCTACTTCGAGAAAGACTCCTATCTCTAGGCCTTCTGGGACTGGGAGAACGTCTCCTCGGTCGAGGGGAAGGCGATCGACTAGGCGTAGGGGTGTAGTCCCTCCTCCTCTTGGGAGGCGGGCTGTGCGACCTCGTCCTAGACCCAGACCTGGATCGGGACACAGAAGGGGAACGTCTCTTTGGGGGCGGGGCGCGTCTTCGAGGAGGAGAGCGAGAACGAGAGGGCGAGGGAGTGTACGAAGGTCGTCTTCGCCTGGGAGGGGATCGAGAGCGAGAACGAGAAGCTGATAGGGAGCGTCTCCTCCTGGGAGGTGGGCTGGGGGAACGGCCCTTGCTCAGAGGGGTAATCGACCTCGACCTTCCTCTTTCCGCACCACCCCGAAGAGGCGGGGTAGCGCTGTCCCTCCCTCTTCTGGGAGGGGAAGGCCTCGAAGGAGGTGTGGGTCGTCGACGGCGGTGAGGCGAAGGGGATCGGCGATGAGGAGGAGGGCGGCGGTCAAAGTCGCGAGGAGGGGGTTTGTCGTAGCCTGTGTTGCGAGCAGGAGAGCGAGATCTGTCCCGAGGACCTGGACCTGGGGCACCTCTGTTGCCGTAGCCATTATCGCGAGGTCGGTTTTCGAATTCTCTTCCGCCACCTCCCCGTCGGCCGTAGCCATCGTCTCTGCCGCCTCTACCGCCGTACCCTCCCCTCCCACAACCTCCGCCTCGTCCACTGCCCCAACCTCCATCTCCTCGGTCCCCTCGGTATCCACCCCCCCCGCCATCACGAGGGTACTCATCCCTATACCTCGGCGGAGGCACATCCCGTCTATCCGGATATCTCCTATCCCCACCACCACCAGAAGCAGGAGGTCCGTCGAAATAGTCGGCAGCTTGGGGTCGGGCAGGTGGGCCGCGGGAAGATTCTTCTTGTTGGCGTTTTTGGAGCTCGGCCTTTTTGGCTTCGATGAACTGTTCGTTTTGTTAGTATACAGCATATATGAGCGGTGAAGGGGACGCACCTCAGCGGGAACACCGCCGACAGTCTTCTGGGCAGACAACAAGAGCTTCCAGAGCTGGTCCATAAATGCGGCAGCACCGAACTTGTCCATAAATCCGATTAACGACACTTGCATCTTCTTGGGGTCTGGTGTCTATTGCCTGTCAGCTCGATTGCGCGCGGGTAAAGACGAGAGAAGAACGTACAGGGTTCTCCCTGTCCTCGAGCATGCCGAAAGCATATTCAACGACAATATCGTCTTCGATCTTGATCAATTCGGTGACTTTTTCCGCTATCCATGGACGCAGGACAGCGATGTTGACTTTCCGAAGGTCCACCTGGATGCAATGTCAGCTAAACCTCTTGATTATACAAAAAAGAATGCGCACCTTTTCACTAAAGTGTTTGGGGAATTTCGTAGACTTGATACTGGCCGCTTCTTTGTCTTTGAAGCGCTGTGGAACAGTTAGCACGCGTCTCGAGCCATGAGAGGGCGACCTGCAGTATCCTGGATTCCTCTCCCTATTATGGAGTTAGCACTGCCATATCCCCATATGCCATACTCACCATCTGCCATTTTGAGCGTGTTACTGTGGATGCATGCGATGAATTCTCCTTCAGAACACGACAACGAGGAAAGTAAGAGAGCGGATATCGCCGCCGACGGAATCAATTCACGACGCGCTATTCAACTCTTGCATTTCCCACTTCCCACTAACATCTGTGCTGTATCCATCTCGGGGCACAATGTCCTTCTCAGACGACGGCCTCGACCCACTTCCCACAGAATTCGATCCCGACCGCGTACCGTCCCCCCCCGTTTCGCCTCCGCGTCCACCAGCACCCCAGCCACAGGAGGATGCGCCGGTGATTCCTAGTGATGAAGAGATGGAAGTGCCCGAGGAAGAGGAGGAGGGGAGATATGCTGCCGAGGAGGACGAGGGAGAGGGAGGAATGGAGTTGATGGGGTATCTGCAGGATTTGATTGATGATGGTGAAGAAGAGCAGCCGGAACAAGCGGGGCCCCCTGCAGAGCGTGAGGGTGAGTCTTGGACGCCATCTTGACAACGCGTCGCCTGTGTCAATGGTATTCTAGTCGTGACTATCGAAGCTGACAGATGTGCAGCGGCCCCCTCTTCATCACCCCTCTCCGACTTGCCAGATCTTCCAGATGAGATCGACTTTCCCTTCACTCGCCGGTCCCCTACTCCTCCAGCGTCGGTCTCCTCTGCAGCCCCCAGCGAGGTCATCCCTCATGCAGAGTCATCTGCCAGTGCCGCCCAACGCGCTGCTACCCCTTCCCAGTATGAAACTGCGCCTGCCGCTTCAAAGTCAAATGACACGACCCAGAGTGTAAACCCGAGTGCTGGCATCAAACGGGCAAGAGCGCAGCTTGATATCATAGCCACCTCTGAGAGCGTGCGCGGTATCAACAGACCAAAGTCGAATGGCTCGCAAAGCGCGACCGACACCGGAGACGAGGACCGTCATAGCAAAAAGGCGAAATCCGACAAGAAACCTCGGCACACCAAGAAAGCCTTGGACCCCACTGGTACCGGCCTCAAGGTCAAGGGTCCAGAAAAGGTGCCCACCAGAGCCAAGGTCATCACCGAAGCGCAGAGGAAGAAGATCCTCAAGGGACAGACAATAGAGGTGCAAATGTCGCCCTGTCAGAGACCGATATATGCGGCTTGGGGCAAGTGTACGCAGTGTATCTCGAAAGTGAGTGGGGATATGTGTCGATTCAGGGATTTCCGTGTCTTTCCGTAAGTCTTGACCCTCCTAGATTTTGGCTGACAATGTCAGTATCGATCCAGTAACCACCGCTATCACGGGCCCAGGCTACTTTACCGACAACCCATGGCCTCAACCCTTGACCCCTCTCCCAACCAGATTTTCCTCTGAATTCTCCCCAGCCATTATCAGCGCTACAGAACACACAGTCGCACCCATTCTTCTCCCCCTCATCACCTCCGAATCCCGGCACATTCACACCCACCCAGGCACTCTACACCGCGGTATTGACACGGCCAAACACCGATCAGTCTGTGACTTTTGCTCGTCTACCATCTTTGGTGGCTGGTGGTTCTGCAAGAGCTGTGGAAGGGATTACTGTCTGGAGTGCGAGAGATATTTCCCGGATAGTGTGGAGGGGATGAAGGAGAGTCCTTGGCCGCTTGCGGATGCCGCGAGGCCGAGGTTGTTGAAGTGCATCGCTCAGCCTCCAAGAGCTACGCAAAATGGGAAGGATGCCGGGAAGGACGGAGGAAAGCCAGAAAAGAAGGGCAAGGAATTGGCGTGGCATGTGCGAGGTGATCTGCAGGCGGTATCGAGGTTTGAAAAAGATGAGATCAAGGAGCATTGGTTGAGTCTGAGTGAATATGTGCTCGCTGGCAAAGATTCCGACAAGCTGGACTTGGCGGGAAAGCTAAGGGTGATGGGGCTGAGAGGGGATGGAGAGGCAACGGGGCTTGTCAAAGAGTGGATAGAGAAGGCGGAAAAGGCCCCAGAACCTGAAAAGGAAAAGGGGTCAGAAGAAGATGAAGAGGTCAGGGATCTCGATGATATCTTCAAAGAGATGAACGATGACCCTCCTCGCCAACCGACACCCCCTCCAAAATCACCTTCTGCTGCCAAACCTCCGAAATATGTCTACACCGAGACATGCCACCCCGCTTCCCACGTCCTCGACCCCCTCACATCCTCCGACCCCACCCCCGTCGCCCATCTAGACCCTCCAGACCCCGCAGGCATACCGAACCTTCCCTACATGTACCTCCCCGCCCCCAACCTTACCGACCCGCTATTCGATGAGCTCTGGGCAAAGGGCGAGCCGATCATCGTCGACGGCATCGGCAGCCGGATGGGCGAGTGGGGTCCCGACCGATTCCGGGAAATGTTTGGTTCCGAAAAGTGTTCAGTCGTCGACTGTCAATCAAATGATCCGCAAGATTCCACTATCGACCAGTTCTTTGCCAAATTCGGGGAGGAAGGCGAGAAGAGGGGAAACAAGATATTGAAGTTGAAAGACTGGCCGCCCGGAGATGAGTTTGCGAATACGCATCCGACGCTCTATCACGATTTTTCACGGGCTTTGCCAGCGCCGGATTGGACAAGACGCGATGGCGTTTCCAATCTTTACTCTCATGTACGTCTCCCTACCTTCTGTTGCATCCGAGCTCACCCCTCTGTAGTTCCCACCTGGACCGACTCGACCTGATATAGGACCCAAGATGTATGCTGCGTTTGCGGCAGACGAAGGGCCTGGCGGGTTTGGATCGACGAGGCTGCATATGGATGTGGCAGATGCCATCAACATCATGTTGTATGCGGCACCTTCCGTTGAAGAGGAGGATTCTGAGGGTGATTCTCCTGTAGAAGCGGCAGAGAAGGATCAACTTGGTCTTCCCGAAAAGGAAAAGAGCACGGAGAAAAAAAAGAAGGGGTCAAAGAAGGAAATCAAGCCAGGCTGTGCCGTTTGGGACCTCTACCCCGCCTCGGCAGCCGACAAGATCCGCGATTTCCTCAAGTCCAAGTTTGACAAGACGCATAGCTTTATCGACCCCATACATTCGCAAAGGTTCTATCTGGATTCAGATTTGAGGAAAGAGTTGTTTGAGAAGAAGGGAATTTCAGGATGGAGAGTATGGCAGTATCCTGTGAGTATTCCACGTAAAAGTGGGAGCGATTGCTTATTAGGTGGTAGGGTCAAGCGGTGTTTATACCAGCTGGATGTGCGCACCAAGTCTGCAACCTCTCTGATTCCATCAAAATAGCTATCGATTTTGTCTCTCCTCGTACGTCCTCTATGTCTACTAACGGCTTAGCTGACAATGTGACAGACAACGTCCCTCGCTGCCAACGACTCACCCGTGACTTCCGCCGAGAGAATTACATGAAAGCTTGGAAAGAGGACGTCCTCCAGCTATACAACGTTCTCTGGTTCGCTTGGATGTCTTGTCGTGAAGCCCGTGTCCGTCGAGTCCAGGAAGAAAAGGATCGCGAGGTGCGGGAAAAGGAGAGGGAGGAACGTTCACGGGGCTTGCGAGATGGACTTTCTTCACAGAACTCTCGTTCCAGAGAGAGACCTGCGCCCTTTTCCGCATGTCCCAGCTCCGGTCCTCTCAGTCCTGGCTTCGCAATGGGTGGTATGGGCATGGGTATAGGCTTGCGTGGATGGGGTGAAGATACCACCACCGCCTTCCGCCCCAACTTTAGCTCAGTACGCGACGAGCCTGTGCGGAGCGTAAACATCAGCTCTTTGAGGGACGAACCGATCTGGAACGGCAACACGAGCTCGGCGAGGGATGAGCCTGTGAGAGGTGCGCCAGGGTTGGCTTTTGCGGGAGAGTCCAGTTTGAGGGGTGCTGCGCCGGTGACTACGAGCGGGGTCAATGGAAAGGAAGTGGAAGTTACTGCCACCCTCGCTTCTGCCCTGGGAGACAAAGCCAATCCTCCAGCCTCTGCTTCAACGCCCAACGCTTCAAAGAAAACTACCCCCGGGGACGTCGTCTCGCATGACGCCCCAGGGAAAGCAGCAAAACGCCAACTCGCCGAGAATCTGTTCAACCTGACTCTCAATCACCACGACCCGAACCCTGCCGAAGTCTTCCTCGCCTCGTCAGCATACATCAAGTCGCGAAAGGCTTTCGGGCTGGACCAGATGGGCCAAGCCAATGCTGGTCTCGGGAAGGGTACCCCTGTTGGTGGTCCGGCGGCGGCGAGAGCTACAAGGTCGCAACCGAACCAGCCACTCACTGCCCCTCTCAACGACTTGACTAGGGTTTCCTCCATTCCATCGTCCTCCACCCGTCCCCCCTCCCGGTCCAAGAACAAGACGCCCAAAGCCATACGTTCGGCTTATGACGATTTCCTCGCGCAGTCCAAGAATGAAGGTCTCGGAGCAGACGAGGAGAATCTGGCAGAGCTCGCAGGGCTTGGTGTATGGGACAGGCTGAGAGACACTGGGGACAGGGGCAGCACGCCAATTCTTACTGTTAACGGGAACAGCGAGTCAATCCCTCAAACGATCCCTCTCGATGCCCTCCTTCAAAACCAAGCTCCCTCTGGCACTGCCGAGACGGCAATGTCTGGCGAGGCGGCGGAGGCGGAGACGGAATTAGGGCTGATCGCCGAGCATGATGGATATGGAGATGCGCCGGATCTGGATCTAGGGGAGCAAGAGAGGATTGATTTGATGGCGCAGATTCAGAGTCTCAATGAGAATGGCGATGACGATGACGATATAGAGATGGATGGGGATGGGCCGTACTGAGCAGGCTCATGGGTCAGTAGCTACTGTTCACATTCGAGCGTGAGTATATATTGCATAGTCACCCTGTCGCAATGCAATGTCCCCCGATGCATTGCACGATACCAATCGAGCACTATTCGACTACACTACGACGCCATGATATCACTGGATTGGGTAGAAGACGGGCTGACCATCCCTACACTGGCTCGACACGACCTACAATTCTTCGTCTGCCGATATCCGAAATCCTCGCTGGCACAAGAATCGTACATTCAACCAAACACTGGTGTCATCCTGGAGAATCGTCACGCGCCTGACTCGTCAGTAGCTAGGGGCTTGGCCACATTTCTTCTGTGTTGGAAAAGGTTTGCTAGGTTTCATAGATAAGGAAGAAGAAGACATATGGAAAACTACTATATCTCCCCAATTCTTTCTTCACAGACATATCACAACTTTGGGGACCGGTCGCCGTCATATTGAGCTTGCAAGACCATTGCAACTTCCTTCCCAGCTCTCCGCGTTGTGCGATAGCTTACTCCTCCAACAACACCGGCTAGGATACCTTGATTCATCATCGTCATCAGCAGGCTACAAGCGATGTTTGCATGGTGCATACAATATCCATCTCAAATGTACCGTCAGGCTATCTACATACGTTGATCTATCACATACTACTAGTACTCTGTTGGCGGCTTCGTCATGATGTGTCACCAGACTAGACTGTGATGCCACTCCACATCGACGCCTCGGTGAAGGACGGGCCAGTCCTTCCCGCAACATCCGCCTCCATTGGGGTGTAGTCCGATAATTTCGCAGGTACAAGGAATCGTGCATCCGAACAAACATCCGTATCGTCGAGGCGGATGGTCACATGACTGTAGTTGTCAGTGGCTGCAGGCCTGGTCACATTCTTCTGGGATGGAATATACAAAGCTTTGAGGTCCAGCGAAACGTCATCCCCGGTTCTCGTCGTTCGCGTCAACGAGATGTTTCGGAGGAATTTTGGCCAAGGTCCAACTGCGACACCGTTGTCATAAACAGAAGCGTGACCTTCCAACTTTTCATGATCGATTTGGTCTAGCCTGGTCTTGTCTGCGAAAAGCTTGGATCCGAGAGTCATGTTCTCTTTCGAGACATAAAAGTCGCCCGCGTGGTAAAGCAAACCGGTCTCTGAATCAAGTCCAGGCTGTGTGAGGCCCTCGACGGGATGGAAGCATGTGACTTCGGTCTCCAGAAAGTCAATATCCTCTCCCACATCTGTGATTCGTACATTGACTGAATCATTGTCCGGGTCCCTGTCCACTTCGAATTGTACCTGTGGGTGGCCAGGCGATATCACGAATTCAATCATCGTGATAGGAAGTCGCTCAAATACGTTCGTATCCTCACCGACACCCCAATCGGATCGAGAGCAGATAGAATCCGGTAACACCAATTGCATTTTGCGGGGATGGTAATGAACCCGGGTTTCACATAAAGCATTCATTAGAGTCTGTGCCTCAGGGGAAAGACTGTCGTTCGAGGGTTGTGGCTGGAAGCTCCAGCCTTGATTCTCTGCTGTGATGTCGGTCATACTGATGCCCCCGAGGACCGGGGCGATGATCATATTATGAAAGAGGCCGGGTAAGCTTTCCGGCGATACTCTTTCCTCCAAGCGGGTTACTTGTTCCATTGCGCTACCAAATTCCGGGTTTCCTTCTGCCATGTCGAGGAGTTTGACTTTTGTATGAAAGATTTGGAGCGAAGTATAGTGTCTTGAGAGCTGTATGTGATGGCGGGTACTGAAGGTTGGGCTACCTGATGCTCTGAAGTTGTGATTGATGCCAGCTGTGGTTGCAGAAGCAAAAAATTGGTTCTGATGCCTCCTTTGCGGTATCTCTATTCATCCGCCCACCCTGTGACCAAATCTCATTTCTTCCTTGGAAAAGCAAGTTCACATTCTCAGGAAGGGGCAGATGATGAGAATTCAAAGCGCATGTGTTCTAGGCAGAATCCATCATCATAACGGTATGAATATCTGCGCGTCAAAACGAGGTCTTCTCACTCAACATGCTGTCTTGATCCAAAGCCTTTGTCTTCGGCTGATTCCTGTGAGTAATTACTTCATGTTCTCCTCGGTGATCATGCGCTTCAAATGCTGGTACGGAAATTCCTCAACTTCGCCCTCGACCAGAGCAAATTCGCAAAATCAAGATCATTGTCATCAAGTCACGCAATAATCTCACATTACATATTCTATGACTACTTCCAGTGTAAGAATGTATCACGGGGGAAGAGGAAGCGGAACCGCAATGCGATTTAACATGCAAGTCAGGTAGATCATACTTTATATGTATGTGGTACCTGATGGACTCTTCTCTGCATCAGGTTCATTATTGGCAGAACTCTTTCAAAGATATTCTTCCACACTAAGCCCTGATACTGCTCCACATTGACGCCTTGGTAAAAGAGTAGCCTGTCGTCCCCACGATCTCCGCTTCCTGCTCTGGTGTATAGCTCGGCATCCGGAATCGCACGTCCGAGCAAGCAGTATCACTGTCCCGGCGGACTGTTACATGGCTGTATCTGTCGGTGGCCTCAGGCCTCGTCATGTTGTGCTGCGAGGAGTTATAAAACGCTGGCACGTCTAGCGAGACGGAATCCCTGTCACACGTAGTAATTCCCTGAAGTGGCATGGCGCTGAGTTGTGTGGATGGTTGAAGGACACGCGGTGTACATACTCGATTCATATCCTACTGTTCTACTCTTTCTCTATGCGATAATACCGAAAAGGTCTTTTCCCCTCTAAAAACACCTTTTCCAGTCACTTCCCTGCTGCGTCCCAGCTAGGCCGTGACAAAGTTATCGCATACTAGAACCGCCTATGGCGCCCTCCTTCCCCCTGACCCCGGGGAACTCCCTCGACCGCTCTACCGCCCCTCCTATCCCTCCTCACCCCTTTAAACTCCAAAACCCCTCCGTCACCCTTCCCCCCATCTCCGACCTCATCCAATACACCCCCTCACCTCTCCCGCGTTCGTCGGGCCCTGTTCCCACGGTCCTTCCTTTGCCGCGTCCTACCAACGCCGACCCCACTCTGCCCTCAATCTCCTCTTTCCACTTTGACCCTCCTACCAATCATGACGCTTCCTACCCCGTCTCTTCTAGTCCGAGGGCCGTGCGGCTTCCCGCCTCTTCCCCCGCGCCTGGCCCCGCGCCGGTCCACCACTACGCCCAGCAGGCTGCTCCCGCTCCTGCCCCTGCCCCCGCCTACATGCAAGGTCCCCCGCCTTTGGTTGGCGTGTCTTTTGCTGGCATAGAAGGCGAAGACCCAATAAAGTTCCTCGACCACGTAGAAACTGCCATCGACGGCAACCCCTACTTCCATCAGCTTCCGAGCGAGTGGACAACCCGTTGGGTGCGCATGCACACTTCGGGCACGGCCAAGAAATGGGCGGACAAGCATTGCCACCTGTCGTGGGAGGAGTTCCGGGCACAGTTTCGCGCGCGCTTTGTTGTCGAGAAGAGCCAGCGCGAGCTCTGGCAGGAGTGGCGTGCCGTGCGCCGCGTACAACCAGGCTTTTCGTCTGGCGGCGGAGGAATCCGAGTACCCTTTGGACTCGAAGATGGCCCAGTCGTCCGACGAACGCGGTAGAGGTGAGGGGGTGTAATGTATGAGGTCGGAGATGGGGGGAAGGGTGATGGAGGGTTGATGGAGTTTGAACGGCCGAGGAGGGATAGGAGGGGCGGCGGTAGACCGGTCGAGGGAGTTCCAGGGGGAAAGGGGGCGCCATAGGCGGTTCTGGTATGCGATAATGTTTGTCACGGCCTAGCTGGGACGCAGCAGGGAAGTGACTAGAAAAGGTGTTTTTAGAGGGGAAAAGACCTTTTCGGTATTATCGCATAAGGAAAGAGTAAAACAGTAAGATATGAATCGAGTATGTACACCGCGCGTCCTTCAACCATCCACACAACTCAGTGCCATGCCACTTCAGGGAATTACTACGTATGACAATCCCACCTCCCTACTGCTTATGGATTATGGCGCACCGGCACCTTGAAACTCTCTGAGGTTCGATCTGAAAGGAAGCAAGTGAAAGAAGCTACACAAGCTGTACGGTCTTCACACCTCTTGTCCATCCTTCCCATCAACCACGTCCCATTGCTTCCTGTTATCTGAATGGATATTTCTCTGCTTCAGTCGCCAAAGACGTATCTAGTGTCTTGAGGGTGAAAGGGAAAATAGAGAAACGATGATGCCCTTGTTTATCTGACGCGACGATGTAAATCGCCAGCACGTTGTCTGCCCAATCATCACAATTGCATTCAGCTACCCACTTCCCTAGTAGCTGGCCCATCAGCTACTTCACTTGCATCGTCATGATCAAGCAGCTCCCAGCATGCTCTCGTCAATATTTTTTGCCTCACCTACAGCGCATCATGCTGGTCGGCAGATGGTTGAAGTTTGACGATTCCCCGTGCGCCGTAGATGTCGTGGCCACTCGTGGGAGGAGTTTTGCTGGTAGATTCGGTCAACGGGGTGCCTGAGGGAGGCGGAGGTGGCATCATTTTGTTTTCCGAGACATGACTGGATGGATACTTGGATACTCCGAGACAAGTAAGAAAGACACCTCTGGGATCCCTCCTCGAGAGTCGAGTCGTTGAGGGAGGCGCCTTCCTTCTGCTTCATTTGTTCGATAAACGGAGATTCCTTGACCTTCCATATCGGAGTTGTACTGTAGAATACCTTGCCTTGGTGATGATTGATGTGCGATGACTGACGCTTTCACCTCATACGTTCCTTCGGCCTTTGACCTAAGAAAGCCTTCGTGAAAGTCTTTTGCTTTATCGACTCCTCCCTTCACCTCGCTGTAATAACTCTCCCTCTGCTGTTCCAAGTCCCACCGCGGCACACTAAAAGGAAAACACGAAAACAAGAACAATTATCCATCAAAGGGATTGCTGTCAAACATCTATAAACAGGGTTCCCGTCTGGAAAAGGGGTCTATGGGCATGATAATCATTACACACGAATACAAACGCAGTCCCGAAGACTACCGTCGTCGCTTATTACTTCTCCATGCCTGCGCCTCGCCTCGCCTCACTCCGCCTAGTAGCACCGAGAGAGTTTATGTCGAGCTTAGAGAAGACCGATGGTAACATCACCCTTGACTCGCGCCGTCAAATGCCTGTCACATCCCATCAGCTCGTGCTCCCCTCATGCCTCAACATAGATCGAACACTCACACTTCAACAAGCAAGTCCAAAGCGATGTTGATACTAAGCGTGTTGTCGCCCTTCTCATGCTTGCCTCCAGGCTGCTCCTCGGGCGTCAACTCGGCGAGCTCATTAGGCAGGGGCACACGGTGGGACCGGAGGGGGCCAAGAGCAACGTCGCGGCGTTGTTCGTTGACGGATTCTTGGCGGGCCTGCATAGCCTGTCTATTGTGAATGTCAGCGCGGGTGCGCGGGTTGTGGCAAAATGGCAGTGACAGACGTACTCTTGGGTGGGCTGGAGCTGCTCAGACATGGTGTGCTACTTTGTGTTTGAGGGGGTAAAGAGAGAAGAGTGGCAAAGCAGCAGAAAGGCAGACAGCGGGGAAAGTGGGTTGGAAAGCGAGATGGGATGTTGCATCTTTTGTACTTGTTGCGGTGTATGATGTCTCGATGTTGTTCGTCACTGGGGCTCCTTTGGAGTGAGTGCAGAATTGTGTTTGCGGTGAATGTGATGTCATAGAAACGCACCCTGTCCCCGATTAGTCCGATTAGGGACGATTAGATAGGGAGCCTCAGGAAGTCAGGACTGCTGCGTGTAGCTCAGGAACACTCGTCATTGGGACAGGGGATCGATTTCTGATGCATAGGGCCAGTAACAACGATATTCCAGCAACTACACCCCAGCCTCATACACCCCCACCCGCCCCTCCAACGCCACCCCCTCCCAGTCAACCTCCTTCCCCTTCTCCACCACCCCAAAATCCAGATCCAGCCCCTCAACATCCCCCTGCCCAAACCGCATCTCCACCTCATCAAACACCTTCACATACTTCACCACGCCAAAGCCAAGTTTTTTGAATAACCGGATGGACGGAATGTTTTCGGAACCGATACGGGAGAGGAGCTGGGGGGCGGGGAGGTGGAGGGAGGATGTGGTGTATTTGAGGCTGAATGGTACTCAGTGTGTGGTCTTATAGGGAAGGGGGAAGGGACGTACAAGAGGGAAAGTGCTTCGACTGCATAGCCTTTCCGTCTGTCCTCTTTCGCTATACTTTCATCAGCCTTTCATCTCCCTTCCTGCCTCCTCAACCTTGGACTTGAGCTGGTACTTGAAAAGACGTACAAGCAATCATAATCTCACACTCCCCTTCACTTTCCCTCCCATCAGGCAGAAAAAGGTTGACGTCCCCGACCATACGGCACTTTTGGATCTCTTCCGGCAAGAGAATGTATCTTGATGAATCGGTAGATGAGTCGGAGGGGGGAGAAGGACGGGCGAGGAGGATGAATGTCAATTCTATACCCCTCTATCAGTCTTCTCATCCCAACGTCTATGCAAGACCAAAAGTCCAGAGAGTAAGAACTAACTATCTTCGTCCAACAACCATTTCCCTAGACCGCCAACTGTCAGCCTATACAGAGCGCAGCAGTATTGGGGCGCTTACGTTGCATCTCATACTCTTCCTCCAGGGATAACGGTTCCGAAGCTGTCAACTCGAGCAGTTCGGGCGATTTCATCCATTCGTGGTATTCCTTTGCGTTTCCAGCATCAGCCTCTATCCTTCCTCTGATACTATCTCCTCGTGATCCAGCACGGGCTGGACAAGGGGAAAGGTATGCTAGCTCACAGGGACATGTTCTGCTCTGCAACATCCAGTAAGTAATCAGCTTCCGGTAAATCAGCGAGAAGGGAGCGATGTACCGATAGGGAACGAGGATGACCTTGTCCCCAAAAATGACCGTGTTTTCGTTCAGCTTCATGTTTGCTTTGCCCTTGTACTTGCTGGACAAGTAGCCTGTGGAGTATGTATGGCATGTATGGGAAGAGTGGATGGTATGAGTAGGAAGCCCCCCGGGACCCATTCCTCCTGATCTGCTCCCGTTCGGCGACCCCCGCCTGTCTATGCTCGCTGGCGCGTCTCTTCGATGACTTCTCACTCTCCATAACCCCTGCTATCCCCCTATTCCCCCCAACGATCTATCTACAAGATGACCTCAATAGGCACAGGCTACGACCTCTCCGTCTCCACCTACTCTCCCGACGGACGTCTCTTCCAGGTCGAGTACGCAGGTAAAGCTGTCGAAGCTGCTGGGTGAGTGCCCCTCTCCCACTTCTCTCCTTCCCCTCTCCCCTCCCCTTTTGCAGAAGTGAAGCTGACATAGAGCAGCGTAGCAGTCGGTCTCCGATGCAAGGACGGCATCCTCCTCGCAACCGAACGCATCCTCCACTCCAAGCTCCTCGTCAAAGGTGCCAACCGCCGTATCGCCTCAGTGGACGAACACATCGGCATGGCCGGTGCCGGTCTGTTGGCGGATGGAAAGTACTTGGCGAGTAGGGCGAGGGATGAGAGTGGGAATTTTAGGGAGACGTATGGGAGGGGGATCAGTGTGAAGGTGGGTTTCTTGTTTCTTTGGGTCTAAAGCCTGAGTATTGGTGGTGGGGATGGAGGGTGTGGGAGATGGGTGTGAATGATGGATAGTGAAGGGAATGCTGGAGGGAATCCAGCTCGCGCTATGCTGGAGATTGACCACAATACACTCTCATACTGATATACCACCCAGATCCTCGCCGACCGTCTCTCCGCCTTCCTCCAAGCCTACACCTCCTACGGCTCCGTCCGCCCCTTCGGCCTCTCCGCCCTCATCGCCGGCGTCGACACTGCCTCCAAAACCCCGCTCCCCCAACTGTACTGCGTGGAACCTTCAGGGGTGTACTATGGCTACAAGGCGACAGCCGTCGGTAAGGGTAAAGCGCTGGCAAAGACAGAGTTGGAGAAGATTGTGAAGCGGGAAGAGGAGGGAGAGGCGATCAGTGTCAAGGAGGGGATTGATGAGTTGGCGAGAATGTGCGTTTTTCTTTACCTCTTCTCTTCGGGATGTGGACAAGGCTGATGAGAAATAGTGTCTACCTCGTACACGACGAAAACAAGGACAAGGACTTTGAACTCGAGATGACCTGGGTTTGCGCAGAGTCTGGATGGAAGCACGCGCTCGTGCCGGAAGACTTGCTGAAGACTGCCGAGGAGAAGGCCAAGGCTGCGCTGGAAGAGGGTATGGAGGAGGATTAGACGGATGCGTCTTGTGACAGATTGGATGAAGAGCACATTGATGAGATTTTCATGTATACAAATGGGATATACCGAGTGTCTTTGGAATGAGCTCGAGCAATGTTTGTACGTTGCACACCCATGTCTGAGGACCATGGACTGGTATATGAAGTCTCACAGGATCATCGTAATACTGATGAGTCTGGGATTCTTTTCGCCCTATGTCTTTGATCGTCCTCTGCCTTGCTATGATCTGCCTCCGCCCCGGATCAGTCCCTCCGTCGTTCAAGTTTCAACTGATGACATTCTGCTCTATTCTGCCGACGCAGCTGTCCCGTGGACAAGATGGTGCAGACTTGGAACAGGGAGGGAACAGCTTGACAGCCGTTAGTGATAATAGTCGTACCGGAGGTGTATCCGAAGCAGCTAATGCAGAAAAGAGTTTCCGACCAACATGGGAAGGACCGATCGAGTAAGCGACTGTTGTTCGGTGGTCGTCAACGAGGAGATGCCAGGCTGTACCCTGCCCCGCACGCCCCATCCCAACATCCGTCATAGTCGAAATCCGAATCCAATACATGCTCCCAGTCATCACCCAAGCCTACTTTCCCTCCTCCCCTTCCACCAGTCCCAAGGACACTACCACACCCGTAGCAGCCTTCTCGGCGGCTTTACGCGCATCGGAGCCAGAGTGGAGTTCTTTTTGGATAAAGTGGGCCTTGACTTCCTTGGCTCGGGCGATCTGATGGTTTTGATGAAGGGGGTGTTGATGTGAGAGGAGAATGATGCGAAGTTTGAGGGAAAAGAGGGAGAAGAGAAGAGATGATAGTCAGCTCGATGTTCCGCGTTTGTGTCGCGCCGTTGGTCCCGACCACCCCTCCGAGACGGCTCGAATTTCCCACCACCATTCTCATTGATCTACTAGACTCCGCACAAGGAGCATGGGTCCCGTTCCAGCGCGACGGCCCATCCTGATACACAACGCTCCAAATCAAAGACCCCTTCTCCTCTCCGTCCCTTCCCCATGATCTTCCACCTCCCTCCTACCCCTCAACCACCATATCACGCAAATAGAAGTTGAACCCACCTCCTTGGTGTTGTGAAGACACTCCAGGTAATCGTCCTTGGGAGCGATACAGTCGGTGGGCTTGTCGGCGTTGGCATAGCACTGTTTGTGCGGGCGCGCGCGCGATTTGATTTCGATGGTTTGTATCAAGTTGATTAGAGAGTGAACGAGAGACGGCGATGATTGTGGATGAAGATTCGGTTTGAATGAAGGATAAAGTGGAATTGGACAGCATGGAGAATATGACAGAATGTGAGGATTACGGTAAGCTCGGAGCAACGTTTGCAGAGGTGATAGACGGACCTTAGAGAATTCTTGCCAGAAGGGGAAACATCTTGTTCGACCTATTCCCTCATCAGCTTCCCATCCCCATCCTCCCCATCAACCATATCCCAGCTCATTCTCCTCGATTGCAGTAAAGCATCGTTTTCGGACATTTGCCGATTCTTCTATATGAGACCAACCGACGCACCACCAGTATACCCGAAACCAGACTGCACCAAAATCAGCTTCTGCCCTTCTACCCCACCCTGGCGAGGTACTCACAGCCATGTTGAATGATGCGTTATGGAGAGCTGGAGAGCACTGTCTGTCGAATGCGCGGGCTTTGGTTCGCTGAGTGAGGACTGGGGGACAAAGGGGAGGGGCGCATAAATTCGGGACTTTGTGGAGGCGGCCATGGCCGTTTGGGTATGGGTCTCTTTCAACGTACTTTAGAGTCGGGAGTGTCTTACGCTCGCACTCCCTCCCATATGGGAACGTTGATATGTTGGCATGAGTACAACGTCGTTGGAATATGCATAATGCGTAAAGTGTGGTAGATATCAAGACAAGATAATCACACAAATGCTGGTGGTTGAAGTTACACGTCTCCTCCGTACAACCCTCTCCTTCCCACCCCCTTCCATATCCTCTCTTGTATGATGCGTCTAGAGCTCCATCAATCGTTTCATTGCTTGCCAAGTGGCGAACGATATGCTACGAGAATATCAGCGGGCCGCAAACACGAAAGGATAGGAATTGAACGCACCTAGACATCGGTATGACCTTGACAAACCCAATACTCAACCCCACATAGAACCCTCTCCACCCCCTCGCATTGTATACCTTGCTCACAGCTTCCCTCCAGCTAATTCCTCCATTCCCCAACGTACCGCCAACCTGCATCCTACGTCGGATGACTTCAAAGGGGTACGATGCAGTCTGGGAGACGGCACCTGCTACAGCACCGCAGGCAAGATCGCGCGCTGTGGGGTGCTGGTGGAAGTAGGGAACGTATTCGGCAGCGTGTCTCTTCAGTGTGCCGTACGTGAGGAAACCGACACCGGCATACGGCACCATGCCGATGATTGTCATCGAGAAACCTCGATAGAAAGGGTATAATGGCAGATTCCGTATGAAGGGAGAGACGGAGTTTGATTTTTTGGCGGAGGGGGGAATGTCGGCTTCGTGGTAGATGGCCTTGACGACTTGGGTGAGGGAAGTGCGGCCGCTGGATTTTGTTTGGTATGCTAGGCGGACGCGGATGAGTTCGAGGGGGTATGTGCAGAGGACAGATGTGACGCCTATACTCTTGAATCAGCTCCGCAACGAAAGAGAAGGACTCTAGATTTACCAGATAGGGAACCAGCAAGGAAGAATCTCGCAGGCGTTCTTTGATCTGGCGTCTTGATCAATTTCTGACCATAAGTCAGCCACGCCAAGCCTCACGAACTCAAGCTTTGATACGCACCCGTTCTAACCAGTCATAAAGCATGTATTTGATGCCAGCATAAGGGAATATTCGTAGTAACGTCGCAGAATGTCCTTGAAAAAGTCCTCTAATGCCCGATTCTTTATAGATCACTTTGGTCGCGTGCAACATGCCGAGCGGTGTGCCTATAGCAAAAGTCAGATCGGGTATAAGGGGATGAGAGTCAGATGAATAGCAGAGGGACTTTGTGATCCAATGCTTCGACCGCCTGATGTCATCGCTGCTCTGAGACGAATTGAGGGCCGGTCATACACATCGAGATCCATTCACCGAGGCCTCCGGCGAGACGGCGTAATGAGACAATACTCACCAGCATACTGACGAAACTCCGCATTGGACGTCTGAAACAATATCTTGACTCGATCCAACGGTGCTATTGACGTTTTCGCCTTCCGAGGCTGTTAGCAGAACGCCACCAGGAGACCGAAGTGACTAACAACACAACCAGCGATACCTCCAGCTACTCCGCTACTCAAAACTGCTCGGAGTCAGCGCTATACACTTTGATATATCCATACTCACCATAGTCCCAACTCGTTCTATCTGACTTCGCCCTCTCCCTACTCTTCTTCCATATTTCCGACGCCGTCCACCGATCGCTCTCCCTAGATGGTGGCCAAATCGACTCTTCCAAAGGCGTGTTGATCGTCATCCCCGTCGCTCTCTCCTTTCCCTTCGACGTCGAGCTGGGCCCGGGATCTTGATGAAGCATGTAGGCGGTGTAATGGATCTGTTGTAATTTGCGCAAAAGGAAAGCAGAGGGAATGGAAATTGATCGGATAAGCGGAAGAGAAATTGCCGGGGTCCTCATTACATAAGCAGGTCGGATCCTATATCCGAGCTGAGTTGCTGTTGGTCGATAGTTTTTGCTGTATGCATTCCATGCAAGACGGATAAGAGAGAATGAGTGCTCATCCCATGATGCCTGGCACGATTTTGGTTCTGTGACCTGGACTCAAATTCGTAGTATTGGGACACCGCTTATGATGCTCTTCCTTCCAACCAGCATATCGCATATCTCCTCTAGATATCGCTTTTATTCCCTTGTAGCCGGTGCATGGTCTGTAGAGGCTGCTGTACTTATCTTTCTGCACATCGCTGGTGGATTGTCAGCTTCAAGCGACTGGGCAGGTTTTGATGTTGACCGACTGCTGATGTTTCACGCTGTAGTGATTTACTGTGTGTCGTCCTGATTGGATTTCCTGGTTGAAGTACCGTCGGTCCACATGTCGACTACGAAGGTATTTGCAGCTCCATGACATTGGCTGTCGGTAATGGTGTGTCTGCCAGGTTTGTCGAGCTCGGTAGTGTTGTAATTGTTATTGTACAACGCGACGCGTGGCGGAGACCTCCACTTCGTGCTCACACATCCCTCATTTCCTCATTCACCTCGTCCGGCAGCTCTAGGATGCCCTGATGGCCGACTACACCCCCCTCGACGCGAACGGAGTACCCCTCAGAACCCTGTCCCAGCGCGCCACCCCTTCCTCGGCCATGCCCCGCCTCCCAGTAGATCCCCCGGAGACGACGACGCCATCCTCCAAGATGTCACGGAATAACAAGAAGAAGAAGAGGGTCAGTGATCTACAGGGCGGAAGGGAGGAAGAGGAGGCACTTTTAGGAGGGTCAGGGCTGGGGGGAGAAGCGGCCGAGGAAGATCACTCGAAGCCACGCATCAGTCCAAAGTCAAAGGGACGGATAGTGCCATTACAACCGACTTGTAAGTGTCTTTTCACAACGAGCAAAGTGTACAGGGCTTATATCGCGTAGCATCCAAATCATCATACCCAGCAAATGTGGTCAGAAATCAGAAATACTCCATCATCACCTTCGTCCCAATCGTCTTTTACGAGCAATTCAAGTTCTTCTTCAACTTCTACTTTCTTGTCGTCGCCCTCTCCCAATTCATCCCTGCCCTCAAGATCGGTTACATCGTGACCTATGTTGCACCTCTAGCATTTGTGCTGGCAGTGACGATGGGGAAGGAGGCATATGACGACTATCTGCGGTTCAAGAGAGATCAAGAGGCAAACTCAACTCGATATCTCGTCCTCCTCCCCCAGCCACCCACTCCTGAACCCAATCAATTCACTCTCGAAGACGAAACTCCCAACCATCGCCACCTACCTCGTCCCCAAACACGGTCTACTCCAGCTTCGAGTATCAAAGTCGGCGACATGGTGCTCCTCGAGAAGAACCAGCGTGTACCTGCCGATATGGTTCTCCTCACAACGAGCGAGGAAGAAGGCACCTGTTTCATCCGAACCGACCAGCTGGACGGAGAGACGGATTGGAAGCTCAAAGTCGCTGTGGGTGATACACAAAAGATGGGCGAGGCGTTTGTGGGCAGCGCCGAGGGATTCCTCTATGCCGATCCGCCTATCAAGGACATTCACACTTTCTATGGTGTCCTGACGCTGAGGTCGATGGGGCCGGGAGAGGTGGATGAGGCGGAAATTCCACTCTCTGTGGAAAATGTGCTTTGGGCGAATACGGTGTTGGCGGCGGGGTCTGCCGTCGGAGTTGTCACGTATACGGGGAAAGAGACGAGGGCCGTCATGAATACGAGCGAAGCTGGGACAAAAATGGGGACGTTGGAGAAGGAAGTAAACAGGATGGCAAAAGTAAGTTGCCAGTCAACCACACGAGTTTACGCTGATCCCGGGCAGATTCTCTGTACGGTCACATTCGCCCTTTCTCTCTTCCTGGTCGCCTTGAACGGCTTTCGCGGACAGTGGTACATCTACGTCTTTCGCTTCCTCATCCTCTTCTCATCCATCATCCCCATCTCCCTACGTGTCAATCTCGATATGGGCAAGACGGTGTATGCGCACCAAATACATACCGATAAAGAGATCGAGGGTACAGTGGTGAGGACTGGAACATTGCCGGAAGAGTTGGGGAGAGTGGAGTATTTGTTGAGCGACAAGACGGGGACGTTAACGAGAAATGGTAAGCTCTCTTCTAGGGCATCCAATGATGTACAATACTGACTATGACATCAGAGATGGAGCTGAAGAAGCTGCACATGGGCACGCTGGTCTTCGGATTCGATTCCATGGATGAAGTAGCGCATCTCTTGATCGCTGGTTTGGATGAAGCAAGCGGAAGCCGTAAGACACCCACATGCGAGTCTGACATACACTGACCCGGTTACAGATGGTAGGCAAGGCTCATTACCCAGTGCTGGGATAAGAGGTAGAAGGGATATGACAGGCCGAGTTCGCGACGCCGTCATGGCTCTCGCCACATGCCATAACGTACGTTTCCATCTGCCCTTTGTTCTTCCCGCTCACAGTCTTTAGGTCACACCCGTGTTGAACGACGACGGCACGACGATCTACCAAGCCTCTTCCCCCGACGAAGTCGCCATCGTCGAATGGACCCAGTCCGTCGGCCTCACCCTCACCCACCGCGACCGCACTTCCATGACCCTCTCCACCCCCTCCGGCCAGACATTCAAATTCTCCATCCTCGCCATCTTCCCCTTCACCTCCGAATCGAAACGCATGGGCATTATCGTCCGAGACGAGCAGACGCAAGGGTATCTCTTTGTGCAAAAGGGAGCCGATGTTGTCATGCGGGAGATTGTGCAGAAGAATGATTGGTTAGATGAGGAATGTGGGAATATGGCAAGAGAGGGTCTGAGGACGCTTGTACTGGGCAGGAAGAAGTTGAGTGGGAAGGGATATGCGGCGTTTGACGAGGCGTACAAGGCGGCGCTGTTAGTGCCGGGAGAAGGGAGGGCGGTGCAGATGGCGAAGGTAATCGCGACGCATTTGGAGTCGGACGTCGAGTTGCTGGCTCTGACAGGAGTCGAAGATAAACTCCAGGAGGATGTCAAACCTACGCTGGAGCTGTTGAGGAATGCCGGGTTGAAGATCTGGATGTTGACGGGGGACAAGATTGAGACGGCTACAAATATTGCTGTCAGCAGTAAGCTTGTAGCAAGGGGACAGTATATTCATCAGGTTGCCAAACGTGAGTCCCGTACAATGAAGTCTTAGGACCACTGCTGACAATAGTGAAGTGAGGACGGCAGATGAGGTTCGAGACATGCTCGATTTCTTGCAAACGAAATTGGATTGCTGTCTTGTGATTGATGGTGAATCACTCCAGGTGCGCCCCCTCTGCCGACGACTTCTTCCTTGACTGACCAACTATGCCCAGCTTTGTCTCGACCGCTTCCGCACAGAATTCATCGTTCTCGCCACAAGACTCCCAATTGTCGTCGCCTGTCGATGTTCACCGACGCAAAAGGCCGACGTTGCTTTCTTGATTCGAGAGTATACGAAAAAGACGGTGTGCTGCATCGGTGATGGCGGTAACGATGTCAGCATGATTCAGGCTGCTGATGTTGGTACGTCCCTTCTTCATAATTTGACTCAGTAAAAAAGCTGACCGACTTCTCAGGCGTGGGCATTGTCGGCAAAGAAGGCAAACAGGCATCCTTGGCTGCGGACTTTAGTATCAATCAGTTCTCACATCTCACCAAGCTTTTGCTTTGGCACGGGCGAAACTCGTACAAACGTTCTGCCAAGCTTTCTCAGTTTGTGATTCATCGAGGACTGATCATTGCCGTCATCCAAGCTGTCTTTAGCTCTATCTTCTTCTTTGCCCGTAAGTATCTTCTTTCCCCAAAGTGTACCCGTGCTAATCAGCCATTACAGCCATCGCCCTCTACCAAGGATGGCTGCAAGTTGGATACGCCACGCTATACACGATGGCGCCCGTCTTCTCTTTGGTTCTCGATAGGGACGTCAATGAAGACTTGGCGCTGCTCTACCCTGAGCTTTACAAGGAGCTCACAAAGGGACGCTCCTTGAGTTACAAGACCTTCTTCACCTGGCTTACCATTAGTGTCTATCAAGGTCCGTATTGCCGGGTTGTTTGACTGAGGGCAATGCTGATCTGAACAAACAGGTGGAATCATCATGCTCCTCTCCCTTCTCCTCTTCGAATCCGAGTTCCTGCATATCGTCGCCATTTCATTCACAGCTTTGGTCATCAATGAGCTCATCATGGTTGCACTGGAAGTGACCACATGGCATAGCTACATGGTATTGAGTGAAGTGGGAACGGGAGCGGTGTACTTTGGAAGCATGGCCTTCTTGCCAGAGTACTTTGGTGAGTCCTCTCGAATCTAACAAGTCTTACGGGGCTAATGGGATGACAGACATGGGTTTTGTACTCTCAAAGACATTCGCGGTCAAGGTAGTCATCATCGTGGCGGTCTCGTCTTTCCCGCTGTATGTCATCAAGGCGGCTCATCAGCGCTTGAATCCAGCAGCATACAAGAAGGTTGCGGGACTATGATAAGGCTCCTGGTGTGTGTATAATAACGACCTTTGACGCTTTTTGGCTTTTTTTTTATCGAATGCATGCTGATCCATGAAGTGGACCTACTCGTACTTAAGAAGGCCTTTCTTTGCCAGTTACTTGGCGCGCGTGGCGCCTAAGGTGCCGTTTCTGCGCATTTCGTTGGCGCTCGTCTTCAGAACAAAGACAATGTCGAGAGCAATTTCACCAGCAGCGTCTCCTGTTCAATTGGTTCTGGCACACGCATCAGAGATCTCTCCTTCCCCCACTACTATGCCGACACAGTGAGGTCTGATAGCAGGTAATGACTCACTGGTCGCACCCAAGCATGAGAACACCTGTAATCCAAAATGCTTGAGAAAAGGATCTTCTAGCTCAGACTGAGCAGAGGAA